CCCCTTCCCCTCCTCAAGCCCACCTCCCCCCCTCCCCTCTTCTCTATCCGTCTTGATTTTAGGGTGACTTGTGCGACTGGCGTTGCCACCAAGCTAGATCGAGACATCGGCTCTTGCGCTATCACGCATTTGCGCTGGTGGAAATTTATTTGATCGTGTCTCCATTCTCGTTCGTCCTGGCCGAACAGACTATTTTGGCCCTGACCTGGCTGTTTTCTAAACCCTCTATATTCCCCTCTCCCCAAAGCTTGCCCGAGCGCAGACACGACCGTCCCTTTCAATCCTCCCGCCGGTTCCTCGTGCTGTTGTGCTTACCGCCACCTGCAAGGCCATTCTCCGTCACCCTAACACGGCGACTAAGGCAATTAAGCATCACGATCCAGCAGTACCGTCAACTTCACTAAAGACAACAATACTTTTCTCTCTCTCTGTCTCCTACCTTTCTACCTTTCTGTCTTTATCCGAACTCGATTATTATTTTTCTTTTTTTTTCTTTTTTTCTTTTTCTCTCTTCCCTTGAATCACAACTCACCTCCTACCCGTATCAATATTTCCTCCTCATTTCCCTTTTATCTCAGCCGTTCGGGAGTGTGCAATTATACGCGACCATTATTACGCGTCGATCCTTTTCCAACCGATTCCCTACAACTGTCTCGATCCCGTTTGATCACAACACAGCCGGTTGAATTGTTACAATTCAGTCAACTCCTCCCAGAGTCATCTAATAGTACGTTTCAACATATTGCCGACCTTCATTGGAAGGGAAAGAAAAAAAAAATCCCCAGAAAAATACAAAAAAAAAGACGAAGACGAAGACGAAGACGAAAAAGAGCAGGAACAGAAAGAGAAAGAGAAGCCGTCATTGCGCAAGATCTGGTCTGGTCGTCAAGATCTCCTCGGGACCAGTCTGGCACACACCCTCTCTCTCACTCACTCTCTCCTCTCCTCCCCTGTCCCTCAATTTATTACCTCTCGGCCTATCTTTCTCTTTCTTACCATTTCTTTCCCTCTTTTTGTCTCTCCTCTCGATTTCTGTCCAATCTTGTTTTGTTTGCAAGCCACAAAGCTCATTGTGTCCATCTCGACGCGTCTTCATAGGCACGCGAGGCTTTTTTTCTCTTTTTTAGTTCGGAGGAATCGTTCAGGGATATCTTTGGTCCGGTAGTTGCGACCAAATTTGTATTATATGGACAACAGACCTGCTTCGGAGTACGCGCAGTCAGGTTCGCACTTTCCATATCCACTGTCTGCTGCGACTCATCATTCTGAACCCCCCGCTGCAGACCAGGCTTCTGCTGCTGCCACTGCTCAATACACTCCCCAACCGGAGGTTCGCCCGACTCCCCAGTACACGCCTCAACCCGAGGTCCGCCCCGCCGCCAACATCTCTTCATCCAACACACCTCAGTCGGACTACGGTCTGAACCAACCCGCCGCCGCGCGCTCACCTGCCTATCCCGAATACCTCGCCCGCCCACCTCAGTACCATCACGCCCCCAACACCCAGGCCGGTGGTGCGGCAGGTATGGCTCAAGCAACAAGTCCGTCCATGACCACCCTCAATAATGGGCAACACCATGACCCACGCAATCATCACACGAACGTGAAGTCTGACGCAGACGTTCCTATAGATCCCTCAATCGCGGCCTCCAGCCCCACCTATCCTCCTCCTTACTCGCCTTATCAGCCGCAGGGCCATGAAATGGCTCAATACCAGGGTCACCCCCCTCCTCCCCCTCCTCAGATGTATACGCGTCCGGAATGGTCGCATGGTTATGGACACAATCAACACGGTCTTCCTGGGCCATATAACGCTCCTGCCACAACGGTTGGTCCCGCCTCCCCTGCTGCGACCGCAGGGCCGCGCCCTGGCCAGGTATGTTTTTGATGATTTTGGCGTCTGTTTCCTAAGGGCTTGCGCACTTTGCGTGGAACGGTTGTCTTGGATGCCTCCCGCGTTATCAGGGTTTGCGGCGAAAAAGAGAACTATCCGGCCTTTGGGGATGTGGGAAGCGGGCGCGCTTTTTCATCTGTTTTCATGACGTTTTTGATCAGAAGCTCATTCGGTTGCGTGTCTCTCTCTTCTAGGTATACTCATTCGTTCCCATTCCCGGCGCGCAACAACACAAGCGCCCTCGCCGGCGATATGAGGAGATTGAGCGTATGTACAAGTGCGGTTGGAACGGATGTGAGAAGGCCTACGGTACTCTCAATCACTTGAATGCGCATGTGACGATGCAATCGCATGGTGCGAAGCGTACACCTGAGGGTGAGTTGGTGTCTCTTTTGTGTCTTGTTTGTTCTCTGCGCGCTTTCGCAGTCTCGGGGAGAGTGGCAGAGGCGTTGTTTTGGTTGGTCGCAAATAGCTCGATTGGGCTAGTGCGGGTGGCACGCGCTAGTTGTGTTACACTACGTTAGCGCCGCGGATCGCAGTAGCGTGACAAGCCGGCGCGGAGGTTAAGCGTGTTTAGCCTCTCTGCCCACTGCATGTTTACATGCTTTCCGTCCCCTTGCGGTGGTTCCCGTTGAGACTCGCTTCCCCCCAACCCGTCTTCATCCAAATGTCTTATTGTTGCTCGGCCACGCTTTGCTGACATTTACACCCCCCCAAAACAGAATTCAAGGAAATTCGCAAGGAATGGAAAGCTCGGAAGAAGGAGGAAGAAGCCCAGCGCAAGGCCGCTGAGGAGCGCGAGCGTGCCGCCGCCCAAGCTGTTCAGTCCAACCCAGTGGATGCGCCCAACCCTGCGGATCCCGCCCAAGGTGGCCAACCGCCAGCGTACCCCGGCGGTGTTCGGCCTCAACTCCCTCCGATCGGATACCAACCTGCTGATGGCCAGGTGCCCGGGCAGTACGGAGCGGCTGCTGGTGGCATGGTTTACCAGGGTAATGGGCAGATGGCCTACCCTCCCAATTACCCTCACTCCCCCTATGGGCAAGCGGGCCAAGTGTACCAGCCACGTAAGTAGTCATGTCCATCGTTGTGTTTTGCATTATCAGGACCGGAGGTCATGAGGAGTCATGAGAGACCGCAACAGAAAGAGAGAAAAGAAAGAACACAACATCATTATCATGATTAAAAAAGAAAAGAGATTTACGACCATCATACCCGAATGACCCGGTGACTCTTGACTCTCCGAGGAAAAAAACCCGCCGCAGGAGGAGGCCTGTGGGTCTTTTGCTCTACAAGGTCTGTAGCTGATCGATGATGGCTTCACAGAAACCCAATCGACCAGCTACCCGCAATAGATGTTCAACTTCCCTTACTTGACTCAGGTTGCATATTCTAATACAATATCTCCTAATCCCGTATCGCCATCCCGGATCTAATCCTTCTTTAAGTTCTTTCGCACATGATACCATTTCCAGGCCTTGATTGCTCCAGTCAAACAAGAGTGGCCCTGCGACTTACGTTTCTGTTCCAGTTATGTTGTTTTGAGTTAGATCGCATGAGAAACCAAAAAAGGAGATTGTCTAATCGAGGGGTTCGTTCTCTCATGTTCCCTGAGCGAATGTCGGTTGTGGGAATGTGGCTTGGGATATCTGGCGGGGCTTTCTGCACTATCTGAGCTCTATCTTTCTTATTTCTACCCCCCTGTGAATTATGCGCCTCATTGTCTCTATACGGCTTTCTCCTTTCATGTTGTATGTGGCTTATTGCTGTGATGCCCGAATCCTCAGCTTTTTTGATCCTGCAGTTTCTGTGTCCATTTCGCTTCGACCAGCCCTTATGTTACCCTGGGTGTCGGTCCCCGATTCTGTGCAAAATTCATATTCATACCCTTTTTCCACTTGGTCATGACCTAATGGTTGAAGTCTTGCAGCCATCCATTGAGTTTGCGACATCCGACTTCATATCTTCTCAATGATCCACTGATTTTGATGAACTCAGTAGGACCTGGTATCAATGACACCTACTTGCTCCATATGCCTATTGATAGTGGCGGCTTCAGTACAACCTTTTGGTGATATTGATCACATACGTGGGATAGCGAGCGATGCTCCAGGAAAGACTAGGCAAAATATCAGCAATCATTAATTCTGCATGTATTTGATAGTTCCTGCATTAGTGGGGTCTAAGTTGGCGCTACGAAGCAGGCAACGTGTGACTACAGTACTGGTGCCGTAGGGCGAGTCACTAGTCCTGTCGTACAGGATTAGGAAAGATGTGAGCTACTGTAGGTCCCGGGTTGACTTGTTGGATGCGGAAAGTATAGGATCTACTGCCCGCATGGTTTGGAATTTTAAGCTAATCTGGGGGTATTTGGAAAAAGAGGCGAATGGGGGGTGAAGGGTTTGGGCGCGGTCTTGCCTTGATGCGGGCCGGGTTGTTTAGTTCCAGAGGGGCGCTGAAACAACCTTTTATTTACATACATGTGTAGTTAGGGGGAAGGGGGTTAAGCTAAGGAAGGAGAGGGGGGGGGGGGTGGTCAGGTTCCTGGATGAGATCCGAATCGAAGGGTTTTGTTTTGTTTTTTTGGTCGACTAGTCAGCGGCAGTCTCCGAGCCTGGGAAACTGGACTGGCAGTGGGAAGAACTTAACTTAAGCCTTACTAGTGCACCCTCGCTCAGTACTAGTGAGTACCTGAACCCTCCGTTCCAAGTTACTAGATGCTTACCTACGTACTTAGTACACGGCCCTTCCCTCCCTCGGGCCTCCCCCCCCCCCCCCCCCTTCCGAGGTCCCCCCCTCCCCGGAGTGGCGCGCGGAAAAGGAATCGAGAGGGGAGGAGGGGGGGGTGGAAATGTCTAAGCGCCAGAGGGCCCCAGCGCCTATCGGGCGGAAACTGCTGCCTGAGGTTTACGGAGTAGGTTAGTACGTACCGCCGCATAGAACTAAATTTGGCCCTAACAGGAAAAGGCTATCTCTACAAAAGCCTTTGGAAATTTCCTAAACAGTGAAACTAATGCATTTTCAGTAACGTTAGAATATTTTTCTTATTGGGACTAACCCGCTGTGGTACTGCAACGGGCTGCTGCTGGCACCCGCCCACGCTGCGGCGCGGTCTAGCGACTACGACTAGGAAGGAAATGGCTCCATACTGTCTTCTATGCCTCAGGCATACGTGGAGGCATGGCTAGGCAGACCTCTCGGGGGGCGGAGTAACATACCCCTTTAGGGATCACTATCAGTCTAACCTCCTCTGGACTAGCTGGGCTCGAATGAATCCGAGATTCAGAACACCGCGGAGTTTGCGGTTCAGATACCGGAGCTCGTTGCTGCACTCAACGCTCTTTCTTTTCTGTCTTGTTGTACTTATGAGATTTCTTGAGGTTGAGAAGTTTGTATTATCTTTAGGAGTTGTCTGCCTTGAATAGACCGAACGCCATTTTCTTGTCTCTTTTGTTGTTCGAGAAAGGAATAGATATCTCCAACTTTCGCCTCATCTCCGCAATTTTTTTTTTCGCGCTGCTTCTCCGGCCTTCACCTCACCACTCCGCCTCCCATTCCGCACGGAGTCCTCTGGGATCATCGCCACTGTTAGTCCTGGGATAATCTGGGCTAATCTGAAGTCCACTTTACTCCATAACGTCTGATTTCAACGTTCCAAGGATCAGACGAATATCCCAATTCACCCTCCCTCCCGGGCCTACCTCAATGCTGGTGGATTGAAAATCACAACCCCAAAACACCCCACCGATGCGCTTTCTCCAAGCGAGTTCTGCTACCAGACGAAGCATGGCGATGAGACTTCCACTCAGCGCGCAATGCGCTCGAGCTGCTGCCCGGAATAGCAAAACCACCACCATCACCATCGTCGGCAGCAACCACGCCTACACCACCCTCTCCTCAGCAGCCACCACGAGCACCAGCAACACCGAATGCCTCCGGCGCGCCATCCTCCCCACCTCGCAACAGCAGAAGTCGCCGCAAAGCAACACATCGACCACCGTGAGCTGGAGCCGGGCCGCCTCCTCCGATGCGGTGGTCCGGAAATACTGGAATGGCTTCCTGGAGCTCCAACGGAAGCCGAACCAGCCCGCTGCCGTCTCCGCGAAGAACAAGGAGCTCCAGGAGCTGCTGCTCAAGGTCGCGGAGGTCGGTACGTCGCCCCGGCTCCGGATGCAGGAGGCTTCGCTGCTGGGCGACAGACATACGAAGAAACAGGTCGAGATGGAGCTGAAGTGGCTGCCGGACCCGAAGCGGCTGGCCGAGCGGGTAGGTCGCCTGCTGCAGGCGCGGGAGATCATCATGGCGGCGGCGCTGGTGCGCGCGGCGCAGAAGGAAGGGCGGGAGTGCATGGTCGCCTGGAATTATATCTTTGAGTATTGCATGAAACAGGGTGCGACCATGGCGGCGTACAAGTTCTATACGGATGTAAGTTGTGCTTCTCCAGTTCCTTCTATTCTACGAGATCCTGCGACGGTTCGGATCTTGCGGATCTTGGTTTGAAGGTGTGCGGTCGCTGATTGTGGCATTTTTGCGCAGATGAAAAAACGTGGACGCAGACCGAACTCCCACACCTATACGATCATGATGAATGGGTTCAGTGTCTATAATCCGCGGGAGAAAGCGAAGAATGTGGACGCCGCGATGCGTGTATATCGGTCTATCGAGGAGAACCCGGACGTGGAGCGGGATATCATTCACAGCAATGCTATGCTTAAGGTCTGCTGGCTCCAGGAGGACATGGATACCTTGTGGCGGGTTGCAGGAGATCTCCCCGAGGAAGGGCCCGGGTCGCCCAACGCTCACACCTACACGATCATTCTGCGCGCTATTCAGAGTCGCCTGGAGCGTAGCACGCAGGATATTCCCTCCAAACACGTTCGCCCACACTGCGAGAAGAGAAAGGCGGCCATCACTGAGGGTAAGCGGGTGTGGGCTGATGTCGTTTACCGCTGGAAGAAAGGTCAGCTTCAGCTCGATAACCACCTGGTCCACTCGATGGCCGAGCTGCTCTTGAATGCGTTCAGCGACTACAATTGCTGGGAGGTGCTGGCTTTGTACAACCAGACGGCGGGTCTGCCCATTTTCGCCAACAAGCCCTCGCCAGATAAGGAATACGAAGACAAGTGGGCAAGCAAACGGCACGGCAAGCGTCGTGACGGGCCGAATGCCGACTATTTGCCCTTTGTGAACTATAACAACGAGCCGATCGAAACCGAGGTTACCAAGGAATCGGAGTCGGAACTCGTGGAGGAGCAGGAGCCGGAGCAGGAGCAGGAGCAGGAGAATTTCGATCACTTGTTCGATCCTGTACACGATGGCACTGGCTCTTCAGCTCCAGCCCTGATTACCCTCGGCAACCGAGAGATTGACGTGCTGCTGGAGGCCTGCTTGACCATGGTGCAAGGAATGCGACCTGGCAAACAGTATTGGGAGTATCTCACGCGCGAGGGCCACGCGGATCTGATCAAGCCCGATGCGGCTGCGATTCACCAATACCTGCGTCTTCTCCGCTACAGCCGATCGACCCGGGAAGCCATCGCAGTAATCCGGGACCAAATGGTGCCCGCTGGGATCACCGACCCTAAAACATTCCACATTGCAATGAGTGTCTGCCGGCGCGACACCCGCAACGGAAATGTCTTGCAACTCGCCGACGAGATGCTCGATCTCATGGGGCGTGCGCTCGTCCTTCCGGAGCCGCGTGCTCTGGTGGGCTACCTCGATCTCGTCCAGTCCCTCAAGGAGAATCCTCAGCTGCTGCTGTCCTTGCTCGGCTTGGAGGGCGCCTGGAAGGCTCGAGCGAACAACTTCCAGGACAAGGGCCGGAGCCTGTACGTGGGCTTACAGCTGCACGCCGTCAAGAAACTCTTCCCCCATCTCGTGAAATTGGAGGAAGCCACGTTACCCTACCTCCCGAAGACGGAGGAATATGCCACGGTGGACATCCCTTCGCCTCACAACCGCGACTCGACGTTCGGGCTCTACGGCTCGAAGATCGCGCAGGCGATGAACGAAACCGGCAGAGTGATCGACGAGCTGGTGCAACGGCACAGAAACAAGAACTTCTTGAGTAAAGAACTCCTGGCGGATCTGCAGGAGAAGCGAAGCATGCTCAAGAAATACTCCCATGCCCGTATCAACAAGCATATTCGTGATATTCGCGTGGATGCGACTGCCAGCCAGACTGAAGCGTTTGACCAGCAGCTGGAGAAGCAGCAGGAGCAGAAGCGGGAGAAGAAGCGGGAGAAGAAGCAGGAGAAGAAGCAGGAGGAGCAGCAGGAGGAGCAGCAGGAGGAAGTGGAGAAAAAGACCGAGGTAGCCCATGCGAAGGAGGAATAGCCTCGGCACTGTATAGAACCGCTCATCACCTCTCCCGGCATGTACTTGTGTCATCTATAGCATTTTCAGGGCGTTGGTATACAGGTCTTGGTTTGTTTGTACAACAATTGCATGCTATCTTCTTTTCTGTATAGATTATTAGTGCCATTAAGGAGACAATTCATCGGTGTAAATCAAAGTACCAGAGTCTATTCTTGCACATCACAACGATCAGTCTTGTCCATCGGAGAATTATTGCCTTGAACACTGCATTGAATCGATTGATGCGGAGTAGATAATCGATCGATTGATAGATAGCGAGACCACCGGGAGGGTTTCCGCCTGCCGCTTTCAGCGCGTGGTGTGCGTACGTAATGTAATGGATGCCACTCTAGCCTCTCCTCCGTCACAACAACCGGCCCGAAAGAGCAACCATTCCATTCCCATTCACTCAATCCGAGCTATACTCTGTCCTGCTCGCCTTCTCTTCTCTCTCTGGGTACAGCCGGACTGTCCAGGTGATACTCCGGTAACTTTGCGGAACGTGCAGTGATCGCTGTGAATCCTACTCTTTTCTCTCTATTGTCCTCGGATTCGGTTCCTGAGCTCTTCTCGGACCCAGGACAGCATAACGAGCCCCCGTTGTTTGTAGCTTACGATATACCACCACCCCCTACTTTGCCTGCCATGGCCAGCGCACAATCCCTCTACTCTCACGGAGATCTCCACGACGATGAATCCATCCTGGACGATGACATGATCGAGTCCGACGAGGGTGAGTTTTGCTTTCCCCGGTCCCTTACACGGTGGTCCTACCAAGGGCATTCAAGAGTCAACAGCTAACTCCTAGCGCGCGCGCGGGATTCCTCCGCGCATCGCGCATTTTCTTCATCTCCAGCAATCGAAGCCGATGATCCCCTCCATGATACTACAGACCGGACCCCCCTCCGCGGCAACATCCAAGGCGAAGCATCCAGCAGCTCACGCGGCGGCGGCGGCGGCGGCGGCAGCGGCAGCAACTTCGCGGGGAACTACCTCACCTCGTCGATCCCCGGGGAGGACCGTCGCGCGACCCAGAGTACCATCGACGAGACCGTGTGGGAGACGCTCTCGCGGGACCTGCGGGCCGTGTGGGAGAAGATGCGGCAGGTGCTGTGGCCCAAGTACCTGATCGGCGGCATGTTGCAGCGGGGTGGAGGCGGATTGGCGGCGGCGGAACGGGGTGAAGCCAGTGGATTCGGCGGCGGCGTCCGCAACCTGGTGGGTAGATGGCCGGATGCTGATGTTGTGCTGCAGGGGGGCATGAGTGAGGGGTTGCGGGATTGGGATCTTTGGTATGTTTTTTTTTATTGTGGTTATCTCCATTGCGCTACGGGGAAGTTTGGGGGAGGGCGGTTTCTAACTACGATACGGATTTTGCTTACTCTGATGTTGTGCTAGGGGTCCGTTGATTTTCTGCCTGCTGCTCAGTATGTTTCTGTCGATGCGCGCTAAGGGAGAACAGTCGTCTTTGGTGTTCTCTGGGGTGTTCTCGATTGTGTGGATTGGTGAGGCGGTGGTGACGTTGCAGATCAAGTTGCTGGGTGGGAATATGTGAGTTTTGGTTTTTGTTCTTGGTTCGTGGTTATCATGTGCTAATGGGGCGATTTCGTGCATCTAGCTCCTTCTTCCAGTCGGTCTGTATCATTGGATACACATTGTTTCCGTTGGTCATCGCGGCTCTGCTCAGCGCGCTGGGTCTGCCGACCATTGCGCGCATACCGGTCTACTTGGTGCTGGTGGCGTGGTCGTTGGCGGCGGGCGTGAGTATTCTAGGCGGATCGGGAGTGGTGCGCAACCGAGTCGGGATTGCAGTTTATCCATTGTTTGTGTTCTATGTGGCGATTGGATGTCTCTGCTTCATCAGTTGAGAGGGCGCATGTGGACTTCAAACTGGGTGAGGTGGTGGGAGTGTGGTGCTGAGCAAGGAGGAACTATAGCCAGGCATAGAGGAAGAGAGAGGTGGATGGTGAGGGTTTATCGTTTCCAGTCGAGGCCGACCATTGAACGGACTGTTCTGTGTTGTTCCATAGTAGCGTTTTCTCTCTGAAAATTGTTTGCAGCCAATCCGTCTTTTTGAGAAAGGGGAATTGATCATAATAGTCATGATAGTAGTAGTAACTAGTGGCAGGGAAGCGAGCGGTGACGGGAGGGAGCAGACGGAGGGAGCAGACGGAGCCGGGACGAGACCGGGGAGGGCGCCAACACAACAACAGCCCGGGCCATCTCATCTTCCAACCTGTCGTCCTCCTCTACCTCCAACAACTCACCCGCTCGCACCTCGCTTGCTTGCTCGCTTGCTTGCCCGCCCTCAACACCGCTGGCTGTCTCTCTCTTTCTCTCTTTCTTTCCATACACTCCCCCCTCGGGTGCTCATTTCAGTCTCAACTGAACTCAGCTACCATCATTGCCGGTAGCTCCTCAGCCCCGTCTCTCTTCAACCTTTCTCTATCTACAGAACGAGCAGCTTTCGGGCGATCGTGAGCCGGCTCTGACGTCGAACCCACCCTCAACAGCCTCCGCGCAAATCGAGAAAATTCCCTGAACACTCTATCTTCGAGGTTTAGATCTTTAGGTGAGTTGTGTGTGGCCTGTACTCCCCCGCTTATGGCGAGCGACGATCACATCAGGAGTTTCCCCTCCATTCCTTCTACCTACACCCGCAGCCCAGAAATGCTGCGGGCAGATGAGCGCCAGTCTCTTTCCCGCAAACAGACACCAGATAAGCCTCGGCCCTTCTCCTAGCCGATCGAATTTTGGTCTGGCTGGCTGGCCTCGGCGTGCTTCAGTTTGTTTCTTATTTGTCTTTTAATTTGTTCGCTTTGCTGGAAGCTAACGTCGAATTTGTCTTGTATCAAAACAGTACAGAATCTGCATTTGTTTACGGTCCGGTTTCTTGTCCACCACGTCACCTCCCGCCAATCGTCCCAATCACACACACACGCTGAGGCTGTGTCAACTCCCCCGCGCGCTTGCAACAACTCTGTTTCAAATTTTCTACCTCCGATCGAAGATGGCGCCGGAGCAGCAGCATGCTGGTGGGGCACAAGGTACAAACCCCAAGCATATTCGACCTTGGTTTCCCGTATAGTGTGTTTATACTGACCAGAGGTTTTTTGTTTCCGGTGGTGTAGTAGAGGAAGCTCCCCAGGCCTCGATAAACGCTCAGGGTAGGTTATAGTTGGTCATAGTGATAATACCCATCCGCAAAACGACCACTGATTCTCCTCTTCACAGTCGCGGACGACTCCCAGGCATCGGATAACGACGGCGGAGAGCGCCCCGTTCGCAACAAGCTCAAGGAAACGTCCATCACCTCGGTATCCAAGGCCGACGACGACGCCGGCCCGCAGGAAGGGGAGACCAGTCGCGCTAGCAGCCGAGGCCGGAAACGATCTTTCGATGAGGATCAACCCGAGAAGATGGAAGAGGACTCGGGTCATCGACGGAAGAGGTCGCGCGACTCGAATACAGAGGAGGAGGGAGGGGAGGGGGAGAGCAATGTCGCCGCCGTCGACGCTCCGTCGCAGTCGACGGAGGACCTCTCACGCAAGATTCTGAGTCCGAAGAAGAAGCGGAGTCGCGACCAGCTGGATAAGGACGAGGCGAAGCCGGCGGAAACCACGGAACCCGTCGATCAGTCCACTACTACTGAAAGGGAGGCTGCGACGGAGAAGTCGGCTGCAGAGGGAGAACCTGAGAAGAAAAGACATCGGGACGATTCACAGGAGCGGGAGAAAGTAGGTGTTTCATGAAAGGCTGTGTTTAATTTACATCCATTAATCCGCCTGCAGGTCATCCCTAGTGGGTTCGCCAACACTTCGGCCGTGTCACCTTTCGGGGTCTTGGGCGCAAGCAAGCAAGAGTCCTCAGACCCTAGCGCAGTCAAATCATCTTCGGCCTTTGCGGCGTCTAGCATGGCGGCGTTCGCCAAGTCGGAACAATCTCCTTTCGGCACCTTGGGTGGTGCGACTTCCTCCTCTATCTTCAAATCGTCGACGCCTTCAGACTCCAGCAAGCCAGCTGCTCCTGGATTTGCAGCTGCACCCGGTGCGTCTGGCTTCGCGTCCCTGGGATCTGGGTTCGCGGGATTCAGTGGCGGCTTTGGATCGGCAGCACCTGCTAAGAGTGCGCTCACGAGTTTCGCTTCTCCGGCGGTGCCCAGTGTGCTAGGCAGCTCGAAGCCTAGCGCTTTTGGGCAGCCTGAAGAAGAGGAGGAGGAGAAGGGGGCAGAAGCAGAGGAGGCCGATGCCGGTCCGGGCGAGTTCGAGCAGGACAAGACGGACGAGCGGTTCTTCGAGCGACCCAGTAAGTTCAATCCATGGAAGTGGGAGGTCCGGGAATTAACGTTTGTCTAGTCGAAACCGGCGAGGAGAATGAGAAGACGTACTTCTCGTGCAAAGCGAAACTGTTCCAATTCAGCAATAAGGAGTGGAAGGAGCGCGGCATCGGCACATTTAAGGTCAACGTACGGCTGACGGACGGGGTGGAAGACAAGAAAGCGGCCCGGATGATCATGCGTGCCGACGGCGTGTTGCGGGTGATGCTGAACACGCCCATCTTCAAGGGGATGACGGTCGGCGATGCCAAGGGCCAGGCGCCCAAGTCGAAGCAGATCCATCTTGCCAGTTTGGAGGAGGGCCGATCGGTCCCGCTTCTGTTGCGGGTGAGTATCCTTCCGAAGAATTGATTAAGGGCATGTGCTAATGGAGTGTGTAGACGGGAAGCGAGGAATTGGCTAATGAGCTGTACAATGTGGTGAAGGACCTGCAATCGCATCAGTAAGAGTCTTTGGACCCGCGATTGAAGTGGAGGTGGAAATCTCGTCGGCATTCTGGACACGGGAGCATTGGATTTATACTACTGGCTGGATCTATACATGCTTTGGGAAGGGGGAGGGAGGATTGTTGATTGCTTGACACACATGCATATCTGGAGGGTAACGGACCCTGACTGTGTGGGTAGGAGTTAAGACTTTGAATACCGGGAATAATGCCATTTCTTATGTTCTGTGACTGTTCTGTGACTGTGACTGTGACTGTTATCAAGGCCATAGCGGAAGCCAATCAGGCCATTGCACAAAATTAACTACTAGAAGGGAGCTAACGCTAAGTAGTGCAGATTGTTGACGACAACCAACCTGGAACCCTGTTTTTCTGTCTTCCTGCTTTCTTTTGTACTTTGAATGGGGTGCTTGAATCGAAAGACTTCAAGATGCACCGTCGGGATGTCTTTGGGCCGGAGCATTTAATCCTCCATCACCACCACCACCATCACCACCCCAATGGCCCCGGCGATCACCATGAACATGACCGTGACCATGAACATCATCTCCACCTCCAACTCACCCACGTCACCGGCGCAATCCCCTTCCTCAACCCGACGCACGCCGCGTACCGAACCACCACCTCCACCTCTCCTTCATCTTCATCCTCATCCTCATCCACAACCAGCCGTCACAATTGTGCCCCTGGCCCCCAAATCCACCGCCTCTGGCGCGCCCGCGACACGCGCAAAGGCCGCCACGCCCTCCGCATCACCACCAGTGCCCCTGCAGAGACCCCGAACCAAAGCCCCGAGCCCCAAAACCACCACCACCACCACCACCACCGTCGTCCCATACTCACACCAGCAACAGACCCCACCACGCACCCGCGCATCATCCTGCACACCCTGAAAGCCATGCTCACCACGTGCCCCTACTGGGACCTCTCGTACCTCGTCGCCGTGACCTTCACGCTCGGCTCCGCGATCTGGATCGTCAACGCGTTCTTCGTGTGGTTGCCGCGGCAGGATCCCAGTACCGTGTTCCGCGGGGAGGAGGGGGCGGGCGGCGGGTGGACGGCGTTCGTGGGGGCCGTCGTGTTTGAGGTCGGGAGTTGGGGGTTGGTGGGTGAGGCGTTGGGTGCGGGGGGTGGGGATCTGGGGTGGTGTTGGGGGTGGGATGTTTCCGCTTTGGGTCCTTCGGGCTCGGAGGGGCAGGGTGTCGAGGGGGGTGGGGATGAGAAGGCCCGGGGGACGGAGGGTCCTGCGCAACTAGGACAGCCCCCACCCCGGCCCCGGGGATTAGATACGAACGCGAATGCGAACGCGAACGCGAACCCCCGTCCCGGCTCAGATACAGGCACGAGCAGTCTGGTCCTCCGTCCCAGCACGGAGACCTGTATATGTCATCATTCGAATCGGAAGGGCCTGTTGTCGCCGTCATCGCCTGCAGGCAGGAAGACTGCCACTGCCACTGCCACTACCCTGACCATTTCCTCGGCAGGAGCAGCTGCGGCTGGTCGTACCACCCCCAGAAAGGTCAACCACTACCTCCACGACCTCGGCTTCTGGGCCTCCCTCACCCAGCTCGTCGGCGCCACCGTCTTCTGGATCGCGGGCGTCACCGGCCTCCCCGGCATCATCGGGCACATGAGCGCCCCCCTGACGGACGGGGTGTACTGGGTGCCCCAGGTCGTGGGCGGGGTCTGCTTCGTCGTCAGCGGCGGGCTGTTCACGCTCGAGACGCAGGAGCGGTGGGATCGGCCGGCGTGGCGGGTGCTGGGGTGGCATATCGGGGTGTGGAACGTGGTCGGCGGGGTCGGGTTCACCCTGTGCGGCGTGTTCGGGCTGGTGGGGATGCAATATCAGGCGTGTCTGGCGACCTTCTGGGGGTCGTGGGCTTTTCTCTGGGCGTCCGGGTTGCAGTGGTATGAGAGTTTGCAGAAGTGGCCGGTGGAGGTGGAGAAACACCACCGCCACCACTGAATGAAATTCGACTATACAACTCATTTGGCTTCTATAGGGGGGGGATCTTGGAAGAAAGAATATGCTGGCAAGAAAGAAACAGAGACTCAAAAACAATGTGGTATACAGACCACCCAATCGGAAACCGTAACTCCCTGGAAACACAACACAAAAAAAGACTATTGGGTCTTGATTAGCCAGCCCACACATCCAATCGCACCACTTCCCAACATGATCGTCAGAATCCACGCCCCGGCGCGATCGGCCGTCGTGATGGGCTTCGATTCTGACGGGTTCTTCTCGTCGGCGCTCGTGTCGATGTGGTGCTCCGTGGCGTTGGGATTGGTGTCGATCGTCTGCGGCGATTGACTGGCCAGCAGCATCAGCTGGGACGTGACGCCGCCCAGCGCGCTCATCTGGACTTCAAGTCCCAGCGAGCCGTCCCACGACGGCTGGTACCAGCGCACGCCGCACAGGTTGCTCATCCCTTCGGCCGTACCCGAGCACTGCAAGCCGATGGCCTCGACGGACCCTGCGAGCTTGGGAGCAATGAGATCCCTCTTGGACGGCACTAGGATCGCCGTGAACGCCAACCACATGGCTACGTAGCCCTTGAAGCAGAGCTGGTTGCGATCGCACGATAAGATCGGTTCGCATGCCACCTCCGACAGAACCGAGCCATTGCCGTAGTTGGTGCTGCTAAACTGAGTCGGGAAGAACTTTGCGAAGGTTGAATCGAGCAGGCGGCTGACGCGCTCCTCCCAAACAGCGCTTCCATTGGTCTACCACACGTATTAGCAAAGACTCTCTAATTGTTGCCCGGACGAAACGTACGTAATTGTACATGAAGGCCGCTCCCGATAGATACGTCCCGTAGTTGTACGTCCACTGGTTGTTACCCGCGTCCTTGCAGTTGGCCTCATTGGATGTCGAATCGGCGATGTTCCAGATCGTAAGGTTTGTGTTCAATAATGGTGTCGTCGAGGACCAGTCCCAGATCTTCTCCGCCCATTCAGCGTACGTTTCGTTCTTGGTGAAGCGGGCCAGTCGGGCCGACAGCTCGAACAGGCCTCCGTTCGAGATGGCGTTCTTCATGGTGTACCCCGCCTGGTACGGCCAGACCTGCCACCGCATGCCTCCGTTGCAGGTCTCGTTATCCCAGCGATTGACCTGCATGTTGAACACGGCGCGCGCAAGCGAGGTCCACGACGGCTTGCCATCCCGCTCGGGTAGGCCAGCCTCGGAAGCAGTGATCGCGGCCAACCCCCAGAACATTTGATCATCGTTACCCTGTGTGGATATTTATTTAGCCCAGCTCTATCTAAGATCCATCGCGCCTAAGATCGAGAATCATACCAGCCACTGACTGTAATTGGCGGAGAAGAAGTCGTAATTCTCGCCGGCCTGGAACATCAGGTCATGCGAGACGACCGAGTTGTAGGTATCGACGCCCGACGCCTGCCAGAATTGGATGAGGGTCATGAACATGCTGCCGGCAACGTACCAGGTGTCGGTGAGCTTTCCGGGGATGCCTTCGGTTTGATTTTGTTGGTAGAAGGTCATCATGGGGTCGGCGATGGCCGTGCCGGCAGTCGCAAGGGAGTCTACAAAACATCGCGGGATGAGCGGATCAATTGCGGTCTATTCAGGGTTCGGGGCACCTACTAGCATCGTTGACTTGAATGTTGAGGTCGGCCTGAGCTAGACTACTGGCCAGACACAGCCAGATTGGAAGCTGTTGAAGGGAGCGCGATAGGGCACGCATGGTGGGCGCGGCGTGTGTATGTCTCCTCTCGGGGTGGATGTGGAGGAATGTCAAGAGAGGAGGAGGAGGAAAGGGACGGACGACAGCAACAGCGGCAGCGGCAGCGGCAACAGCAGCAGCAGCAGCAGCAGCAGCAGTAGCAGCAGGCAACCATCAGGAAAGAAAAAGCAGGTTTGGCAGACTCAGGGGGGGATGGGTTGTTGGACGGACTGAGACGCCAAGGGTGCCAAGGGAGGCATTGGCACGGCCAGCCAAGAGTCGTATTTATGGATCATCCAGCGAGGGGGGCGAGGGGGGAAAGGTGGGTGGAGGGTGGAAACTGGAAAGATGCCAGACGAGCAGAAAGAATGAGAATGACATGTAACCAGTAGGTTAAATGCCCCCCCCCCCCCCCCGAGAAGAGAAGGAAGGGGCCTGGGGTAAGTGGATGTTGGATGTATTCAGGGACTGGACCCTGTCGGTGGCAGTCCCTGGTTTTCCCCGGATCTGGAGATCAGTCAGTGACTCGGGCTTGCTGGGCTGAAACCCGTCCAGAAAAAGCCCTGAATGTCCGACAGCCGCCCTCGGACCACAGGGCAATCGGCGATCTGCATAATTGGCCCGAGCTGAGCGGCCATTGACTGCCGTGTTTCATTGTGTTGGAAGTTAGAGAGGATTGAATCAGTAGGGAGGCAGTAGGAAAGGATAGAAAGGATAAGAGGATCGACGGCTAAAGAACGCCCGCTTCCTGCTGGCCGTTTCCGGTTAGCCCAAGCAAATTGCCCCTTCCAGCTTGAATAATCAACCACGTAGTACACTGTATACCTGCCTGTATTAGATGAAGAAACACAGGCAGGTCAAATGAGTAAAAAGAAGGGAAGCAACCAAGTAGAAAGATATAGACACATTAATTCGACCCAACCAAGCCATACATACACACACACACACATACATATATACAACAACGGACACGGAAAAAGAAATGACAAAAAGATTCGACCGGGACGCGACTCGAACGCGCAACCTTTTGTGCCGAAAACAAACGCGCTACCATTGCGCCACCCGGCCTGTTTCTATGAATAACTATGAGGTACCTTGTTGTATATATTCTTCATACACAGCCCTTAAGCGACGCTACAGCAACATCACCGTCATCTTCGCCATGGTCTCGTGCTCTCATCTCGACATGAAAGGGCAAAATCCGACAATTGGTCATATTATACCATCCTGACTAGTGCTTTATAGGTGAAAAGCACCGTATGTGCATATTTATGGACATACGAATGTTTAATACATTGTGCAGACCTTGTGTGCATCACTCATCCTCCGCCAATAAATATTTACATGAACACCGACTGAGTGCGATGTATGGCATGCGATGCCCAACTAGCAAAAATATACTGCCTCCCAAGCAAACAAAGGACATGCCCCGCAAGTATTATAGCATCTACTATATACAATGACCGTCGCGGGGGGTTCTGTAAGACCGCACCGGTTTCGGCTTCACCTCCATGAACAGGTTCGCACATCCACACCACCAGCCCCCTTTCCTACCTCGTGTACAAAGCTGGGTATCCAAGAAGCAAAATTATATATAAATCGAGACGAGGCAGAGCAGGGAGCGCGTGTGATGGCATAGGTATCCCAGCTCAGTAGGTCAATCAATTAGCCCATACTCAAGGGTTGTTATGAGATGGATTGTGACAGAGAGCTAGACACTTCTCGCTCCATACCGTTGTCAGTCGCCCGACGGACCCGCCTTACAGTTAAGATCCCGAGCCGATCCATAGTATGATCGTGATATAGCGTTACAACGGACTAGCATCGATTCATGTGGGCCGTGCATCTGCGGCATGAGGAACCGAAACCGGACTATTATCACTCTCCGTATCATCGAGGCTGATATTCCAGAACAACGCTTTCATGTCGCGCACATCCTCCCGGAAGTGATCGCGAGGATGAGTGATGCGCTCTTCAGTCATCGCGCGTACCTCGCGAATGAGGTCTGGATAATTCTCGTCATTGGGAAGCCACCAGCGGTCAATCTCCGGCAATTGCCAGATTGCCGCCATCGCGGATCGGAATCGGGCTGCGACAACATAGCTTAAATTGTGTCAGCACCACAACAATGTCCCATTGCTGAGATCACTCACCCCTGTTGTTCCAACGAGGCGAACTTTCGCCGCGCCCACATGATATATTTCTCCTGCTTGGGGAGAAACATAGCCGCCATGCCAATGCTGTTTTTGAACGCCATAATGGCGCCGTTCTCCTTGCCTGGCCACCGATCAACTGACTCCATCAATCGACACTGTTCCAGGGAAAGTTCCTCCAATTCGGTGATTGACGTTTGGCGCAGGGCTAGAAACGACTGATATTTGAACATGGCCTTGGTGGACAAGTAATCAATCCACACGACGTTGACCTCCCACAGAGGGCCACAATGCATGCCGCCCGGCACATATGGATCCACAACATCGTCCTCAGTCAATAATACGCGATGGGGATAATCCTGAACCGTGTACTCGGAATCTTGGAAATGGACCAGAATGCCCCGCATTCGCTCCAGAGTCTGTCCCAATAGTTCATTTTGCATAATGAACTCGTCGATTGGGATCATGCCGCGTGACAGTTTGGCATACAATGAAGCCATCTCTAGTCCAAATCGACGATTGATTGACATGGCCCAAGCCAATTGCTTGTCCACATTGCCTGGGTCGTTGGCCGCCTGCTGAGCGTCATATTCTTCTTTCGCAACATACCATTCCCGGCTCAGGACCGCTTCGTTACCCGCCAGGATTCCCGCCACTACGTCAAAGCGCGCATACCAAAGAAAAATATGTTGGTGGAGCTCGTTCGTATTGATCGAATCAGGTGTCAAGAGTTCTCGCATCAAGGCATGAGCTGCCTGATGATGGTCAATCAAGTTGACCCAGTCTCCGATGAATTCCTACAGATAGAATCAGCATGATGTGCGAGAATGACTATCACAAATACGACTCATACCTCGAAGGTAGTAAGGACTAGGACAGTGGCTAACGTAGCCTCATTGTGTGGCTCGCCTGAGCCAAGGGATTTTCGTAACAGCTTCAAGGCAGTATTATAGTATTTCAGAAACGAATAAAGTCGACCGGTCCTAGTCTGCACGCAATGATGGTACGCCGAGAATCCCACAACGGCGTACAGAAGTGGTTCATACTGCAACGCCAACTCGATTATGGTATGTCGGACAAAGATGTCATTCGATGGCCGGAGGAAATAATGTCGATATGTGATAAAGTCGCAATGATAACGAAGGTAGAAACGCAAGTCATCTGGGATATGAGCAAGAGCCAAAAGACCAGTTGCCGACTCCAATGGATAAACACCCAAACTGGCCGACCGGGCGCTGAGAGACTCGACGTGCGAAGAAGTCTCAGTAGAGGGAGAAGGGGATGCGCTAGTCTCGGTACGCAAGGGTGTGGTGTCCAAGGCAACGGAGGAGTTTCCTTTTCGGCGCCTTAGTGACTGAGCACTTTGTTTCTTGGATACGTTGGCTTTGGGCCGCGCTGCCACCGTCGGGGGTTGGGTCATTGTGGGAGACAGATGCGCACTGGACCCCACGCTATCCGCATCTTCCTCTTCATCTGCTATGACCTCCAACGCACGCACGTCCTCAGATTCTCGGGGACTGGTAGATCCCTCTGCGGCGCGAGCTTGGCTGCTGCGCGCCTTGGAGGTGCCGCGGGCGCTGGCAGACTTGGACGCGCCCGGAGTGTTGGTAGAAGGATAGACACAGTCACGGTTTCCTTTCCGACATCTGTCACAGACAGGGCGAGTTTCATCGCACTTTATACGGCGGGATCGACAAGTGAAACAGCCACTGCGGGTACGCTTGTGCTTCTTCGGATCGGGGGTGGGTTGCATCAATGACTGCGGTTTCGGGGGACCCGACGGATAGGAAGCGGCGGGAAGCGGCGGTTGAGGTTGCGCTGAGGGATTATGCCAATATGCGACGCTCTCTGGGTAGTGGTTGGTACCCAGGATTGAATAGGCCGCGAGGGGATTATGCTGGTGATGCGACTGGGCCTCTGCGAACGAGACAGACCCAGGAATATAGCCCGTCATGGTGGTCTGAGAGGGGGGGTATGATGAGGCCATTTCGATCTTAGCATCGAAGTAGACAAACAGGTCGGCGTCACTGGAGCTGGCATTAGCTGTATAAGCTCAGCTCCAAGCCTACGGACGGATATAGCGAGTATAATCGGTCCGCATAGTCGTTGATAATTCGATCAGAAGCCTAGGTTGATTGATTTCTTGGTTGGTGGCTGGCGGAACCGAGAGATACAGCAGCGGAAGGCCGGAGCGGGGGGGAGCGACAGAAGAAAGAGGTGAATGAATCAAGGTGCTCGAGGGATTAACAAGGTATACAGAGATACAGAGCACACGGTTGAGAAAAACAAGGAAGAATATACAACACAATAGAGCAGAGATTAAGAGAGGGAATGAGGAGTTAGATGATGAATGGATGCCAGTTGGGAACGAGAGACAAGAGGGTGAGTGAGAGTCGGGAAGCGGAGAGAGAATGGGATGGGATGGGATGGATGGATTAGTTGAATGGGATGGATGGAGGGAACGGCCGGATGGGGTAAGTTGCCTGTCTAGTGTCTAGCCCAGGTCCTTCTCTCTCTCTCTCTCTCTGCCTCTGTCGGACGGAACTTGAAAGCTTCTTCTACTGCTTCTTTTGTATTCTTCTCTCTGTTTACGAAGGGGGAGAGGGGAATAAAAAAAACCAAAATCCAAAAATTCCTCAAAAAGAGCCACTCACCACCCGACCACCACCACCACCACCACCATCAGAGCTCATGTTCCAGCTAAGTCATCCAGACGTACAGAACCAGAATCGAACCAAAACAGAAAAGGGACGGAGATGATGATGACAAGGACAACCCGAATCTACCGGCCCCAGTCAGACCTGCCAAAGACCGTCACACTAAATCAGATAGACTTTGAGAGAGTCCCCTGACGATGGGAACATTCCAGTCAGCTTTACTTGTTTCTGCTGGCTCTCCGGCGCTAAAACTCCCTGGACCGCACCTTATTCTATCTCACTCAACATCTCCGATCTCCGAGGATGTTAAAATGAGATGATAGACTACTTCATGGGTGAAGGGCTGACTCGAGTCTGTTGCGGGCTTGCAGCGTGCCCTCCTCCTTCGATAGCCTGGCCGGGGAGTGGGCCATTCTAGATCGGATAATGATCGTCACTCCTATCCTGTGGCCAGTCGACGGCTGGTGTTCTGGTCTGAAAAAAATCCCGGACAGAGCTTCTCTCAGAGGGACTTCCAGTCTCAGTGCCCATCGGATGATCCCTCAGAAGTCCCGATAGGTCATTGTTCGTTGTCTATCCGTAATACGATCCGATTTCCCGCTACGGCAAGGATGGAGACCGAGACTTGTCCTCGCGGGGACCATTTTAGGATTAACCATGGATATGATTATCCTCCAGGAGATTGCAGATCCCCACCGGCAGTCACGGCGTCCTCAAGAGGCTCCCCAGTGCGTGTAGACCGTCACATCGTGAGACTGTAGGGTACTCCGTAGACTGTGCCCTGGAAATCCGGGAAGCAGAAGTAACAGGGACCACGGTTTGACTCGGACGAAATACGGCCGGATGATGTTCCAGCTAGCCCTAACTCATCTCAATTTAGCCGCGTCTCGAGATACTATTACCATCCGAACCACGCGCGGATTAGTAGTGTGAGTGGATCCGTTCAGCTCCTTGGGAGCATTTGAAGATTTGAACGGTCAGCCTCATCCCCAGAAAGGGGGTAAACATCAAGATGGCGAACAGGAATGTTGTGGCAATGTCATCACGGCTCTAAACCTCGCTATTGTCAATGGCCATTAATCTGTGCCGAGTTGGGGAGGGGTCTGGATCGAACAGCAAAAAAGCAACATAAAGTAGCGGGGTTCTGCAGCCAGGATTGCAGGCCGAGAGAGGGTAATACCAGCATCCATCCTTTGAGCATTATCTTGCACAAGACTGAATAAACCAAGCAAGCTGGATAAAGAGCACGTTCTCTTCAAGGTAGACGACTAGATGGCAGTGGAGGCAGCCAAACCTTTTTCGATGGACCAACTACCGCTAACGCCGTACCATTCCAACGGACGTCTCCGCTGAAGGTCCACTTTTACACTCCCCGAATCGCCTCGGCAAATCTGAAACACACTCTTGGGAAATATTTGCCGAGAAGTTCGTCCGTGAGCCCGGAAAAGCTCTAAGCCAACCTGGGGCTCCTCATACATCATTGGAAAGCTGGAGGTAGCCGTTCATAAGAGCCGATACTATAGCCAACAGGGTCGCCATCCGTTATTAAGCTTCCCCACAAAGCGAACAATCTGAGAAAGCGTGGACCTAAAGTCCCGACCCGACCACAAAGAAGATAAGGGGTTTCAAGAATTTCGAAGAACGGCTGGAATGCTGCAACGAGGTAATTAGGCGTCGTCGTAAGCAAGGCAACGCTGCCGCGGAATTACTGCCGGGGACAAGGGGGGGCAAAAGTGATTTCGGGTTTCTCGGAGGTTCCTGATCGACACATAAGATGGTTTGAGTTTGACAGCTGAAGTGTGCGGTGCCCATGACTGGGTCGAACCAAATAAATGCTAGGCCAGTACGACAATTCCAGAGTAATCCAGCGTGGGCGGATATGACGGCCTTGTCTAACCTGGTCGTAAAGTGCAGTCTGTCGTGTCATCGAGATCCACACGAGCCCTAAATCGGGTTGATCTCATACCATACGATGTACTGAGTAAGAAAAATCGCATGTCATGCGCAAGCAGGGTTTTATTCGTGTCCAATGTTTTTTGCCTCTCCCGTTTGCTCGCTTTATCTCTGCTGTTGGTTCAAATACCATCTTGCCTCGTATGCGGTAACAAGATGGCAGGCATGACTCGGTGTCGTCGGTCGCGTGCTGATTACCAACATAAGTCGTCGGTGAAGAAAGTAGTGGTCACTATGAAGGAATCAGATATAATCAAGTATGTAGCTCAAATTAGCCAAGCTGAGTGTGGGTTCACCCATGTGGACTGGAAATCTTAGTCGTATCCGTATCAGGGTAGCCAGGACCAACCTCCTCCACCGTGAGTGAAGCAAGTAACAGCACAGATCCAATGACCCTGCGCTCTTGAAAGTGTTGTTTCTTCACTCTTAATTTTCTTTAATCTTCTCACTTTCCACCCCCGTTCCTTTTTCTGCCAATTAATGAAGACCAGTCATTCCGCTGCTGGGGGCAGGGAGCAGCTAACCTAGATTTTGACGTGAGACCACTGAACAACGCCACTGGCCCTCCACGCAATAACACTATCGTTGATTAGACCTATCTCCATGGGTCAATCAGACCCTCGGAAGAGTGGACAGGCAAGTATACAGACAGCGGATTGGTCAGCCAGCAAAATCCGAGAAGTGGCTAGCCAACCTAGGGGATGAAGGGGAAATTGAAGTCCGAACGAAAGTGGCCACCAAGGCTATTTCCTTGACTCTTCCCTCCGTTAGATGGAAGATTTTCTCCTGATCTGTCCGCGTGATGCAAACCAACAATTAGAGTGACCGATAGTTATGAATAGCATGGCCGTCCCAGATTTGATCGGTGGGTGCTGCTGCTCACCCAGGCTGCGTGCCACACATTGTGATTGTCGTAGACCTGAGTTTGAAGAGACGGGCCACTAAGCGGGCCCTCAAAAGGAAAGATTAATTGGAAACTTTGGGAGGGTGTCGTAGATAGATTCTCGGGGATCATCACCACGGAAATTCGAGTTTCCCGAGGAGCCAATCAGTCAGGAAGCATACCCACTAGAAGAGACCGGTAGAATCCATAAGTCAATGGTACGGACGCACAGGCTACCATCATTAGCTACCATACCGGCCAACGGTTTCGGAAGTGGAGTCCATGTTTCTTCCAGGACGAAAAGGAAGACCTAGCTATCGAGGCTTGACCGTATAGGCTTCATATAGAATGTCTATTGGTTCAATTAGAATCCTGCCTAGACCGATGAAGCCTTCATGGCGAGGTCTGTACGGCACCTCGGATTACTCATTCTGGCTGTTCAGTGATGTTATCAAGTGTCTACAAGAGACGTTGGTGCGCTGCCAGACAAACCTGCTCTCAGTGTATCCTTACATTAAGGCAAGACCAGGGATTCAGCTCCACAGATTTAAGACTGCTATGCGGGGGCTCGTCGAGTTAGAAGTCATTTCGTTGTTGGATCAGCCGTCATATCATGATTGTTCTGGTGGGACCACTGCCCAGACCTTCCTAATACGGGCCAACAAATGCCTTTTATGAGCTGCACTAATGATCCTTTTCTCAGTAGTCATGCGTTCTCATTACTCTCCTTGCTGGCGTACGTGGACAGACACGCACCAAGCACTGTATGTTGCCTAGTTGTCTTTTGGGCGCTTGTGGTGCAAATCAGCCGTTAGATCCACGAGGCCAGCCTATCAGCAGAACTGAAGCTCAGATTAAGGCTTCAAATGAGGGGTATGATCCCATAGGGATACGAGAAAGAGGATGTGAGCGGTTCCGCTTGCCCACCCCCATGAACTAATGCGTATAGACAGCATGGTGAGTGATTTTTGGATGCGGGTTGCTTGTGGACACAGCTGCGTGAGAAGCAATCTAGCTCCCCAAGCCTGCTGACACAGGCAAGCTTAAGTTCAGAGCTAACAGGCTTGCGCATCCTGGACTCATTGGGATTATGCAGCCAGGGGTCTCAAGCCCATGATAATCATGATCACCGCCCACTATGATGGTATCTAGAACCGGGTGGAGGGGGTGGCGGATTCCTTACCCAGCAAGCCCGGAGACTTATTGCAGAGTGGAGTCCCTTAAGATGAAGCAGTCAGAATCTCAGTGTCATGACCATCAAATCAACGCTGAGAGGATCTCGGAGACTTCTCAGTGAATATGGTCCTAGCCTTCTTATTTGTTGAGGTAGCATGATATCACAGTGACCAGGGTCTCAGTCACCAGCGCCAGTGCCGTTTGTCACCTTCCTCTGAAATCCCTCGCACAGGTCCAGTTGAGTCCCAGGCATCTGCTCTGGGAGTCTGTATGGACAGAGGAAGTGGGCGTCGCTGGTTGATCCTGGCGAGGTGCCACCCGTTGACAATGTGGTCAACATTGAAAATCACGTCAAGAATATGAGTCGAGACTTTCGCGTGCGGTTCCAGCCGGAAGATTAGGACAGGATCCTCGTCGTGGTAATACTTGGAAGGCTGGCTGCATGCCGGCAGCAACGACGATCAGCCAGCAGGATACCATAGCCATTCGCTGGCTCGAGGTGATCGAATCGTAATAGTCTGGTTGCATGATTCAAGTGATCGGCCCCTCTTTTGACAAATTGAGACATCCGCAAAAAAAAGAGCAAAATAGGCTGAATCCAGAGTTTCTTGTTCCCATGGAAAGGATACTCACTAGAAGTTGGCAACTCTTCTGGGCGGGCTATTCGCCGAGGAAGTCACGCCGGGCCCGGGGTTAAGGCATCCATCCATTTTTGGAAGTTGGCAAGCTTGACTGCCTTAGGTAAGGTTGTCTGGGCGAGCTCAGCTCAACTATACCACTGGCAGTTACCAGAAACGTATCAAATATGATAGCAAAGTAAGACTGGATTGATTCCTACAAAGTGCAGCTGATGAGTATGTAATTTGAAATTCAGATTTGGTATCTTGGTATCTTAACCACAATCATAACGTAAATTATCGAGAACCAAAGAAAATCACCTCCGCTGCCTCTCATCCTGAATCTCCTGGATCGTCATCTGCACCCCCTCAATCACCACTCCCCATTCAATCGTGTGCACCTTCTGCTCGAACTTGTGGAGATCCTCATCCTCACCCTTGATGAAAGGGATCTCACGCACAAGAATGGGTGTGCCCATGTCAACCTCCGAGATCACTTTGTGCATCATGACACCCGTCTTATCGATCTTCCCTTCCAGCCAAGCCGCATGGGCACGTTCGATGGCATTCTATTTGGAGGAAGTCAGATAGAATCGTGTCTAGGCCCCCGGTTCGCAGCCGCACATCCAGCCGCATACACCCCAAAAGAAAAGCCCAACAGAAGAGGGTGAGAACTTACCGCGCCATTGAAGGCACCCGGCAGAGCGGGATGCAAGTTGATGATCTTGATCTTGGCCTCTTCTAACGGCTCCAAGAATCGCGGTGACAGCACATGCATGAATCCCAGACAAGCGACCATCTCCGGCTTGTCGGCGAGCACCAGCCGGGCCAATTCGGCGTCGTACTCCTCGCGCGCCGCCAAAATCCCCTCCGGTGTTGCAGGGTGTTGCTTCTTGTACTTCACGAGGTTGTGGTATTGCGTGGGGATGTTGGCCTTGCGAGCCCGCTCGAGGCCAAAGGCATCCTTGCGGTTGGAGATAACTCGGACAATCTGGGTGGAGAGTTGACCCTGGCTGGTTTTGTCAATGACAGCCTGAAGGTTGGTTCCGCTGCCGGAGATGAGAACGGTAAGCCGGACGGGGTCTGCCATTTTTGACGGAGTCGCGTTGTCCTGAAGGAACGGCAGATGAGGCGTGGATGGTCGATATCGGCGTCTGTTCCTGGATGGCGGGGTAGGAATTTAAATTTTTTTCCCTCTCGCTGAATCCTGCCTCTCAATTGCCCAATCAGTAAGTCATAATTGTGTCTTTGAGGGTCGTGTTTTCCTACCTCGGACTTCCCGAAATCAAATACAATAGAGAAGGATGTTTGAAGAAGTCAACGATTGAGAATTAGCTGCGTCCTCGACGCCAGCGCCGAGGTCGCAAAGACGCGGGGTGGTTTGTGGACAGTCCGGTGGGCTGAGTCATCGTGAGGGGCGGAGATGCGGGACGCGCCCTGAGTCTCTCCGCTCCGCCGTTCCAAGGATTACTTTAGCGTAACATGGATCAATGCTTGAGAGGTCCTCATCAACAGTACCTTTGGGATGAAGGTCTCTTTGAAACTACACACCTCGGGCTAGTCCCGGTGAGACTGTGGCCTTAAGACGACGAGGGTAGCCGGCCTTAGCTTTAACCGTGGACGGAAGGGAGGGGAACTTGAGTATAGGTTGTTCACCAACATGCCCCAGGGATGTTGGTCAACGTGGCCCGGTCAAGGCTGGGGGGGGATCTCTTGCGGGACAGGAATCAGCCTGTATAACTTGTGATTAGTCGAAACGGGGACAGAAGCCCGAGGGCTCACTGCCTTTCGTAGTGGAAATCGTCAATGGTCTGTGACCGGCCCACGGCCTCAGGCTGACATATGCGTGTATGAATCAATCAATCAATTAATTAAGCAACCAATCACTCAATAAATCAAGCCAGGATACAAGTAAAATCAACAGAGTTTCATTCCCTTGATATAGCTAGTCCCATTTCATCAACTACCCCGCACAATCCTTAAAAACAAAGACAGGAGTAAAAATAGGTATTATGCACCGGTGCATTTCCAGCTCACAGGCCAACATCCAAATATCAAACAAAGTGGGGAATAGTACAGCATAATCTGGTGGCAGAACAAGGGGAAGATTATCCGGGGATATGTCACATAAAATCAATACAGGGTCTCCATGCCTTTGGCCTGCGAGACCCGTGACAGCTGACGCGGCACTGTACAAGGATGCATACATATATGCAGCCTTCTGTTCATGAGTGACCGACAGTGTTTGCGGAATCCCGGAAGGTAAGAATTTAACCAGAAAGGCCATTCAAGTTGAGGGGGGACAAAAGAGAGAGCCACGCTTGATGTCCGTGAAGGATATCATGAGAAAGTAAGCTAAAGTCATTCATCAGGCTTTGGTATAGACGCTTCATGCTAAGAGAAGTTCAAGGTTAGTTAAAGAACAATAAATGTATCTCCCGAGTAAGAAAAGAGGCAGCTAATGTCGGCTACTTGTCGTCAGGCTGCTGTTACATCCGGCGTCTCTGCGGCCGGTCCAGCATTAGAGGTTTCAGCCACACCCTGGCCACGGCATAAAGGGCAGGAGTTACGGCCGGTTGTCAACCACTAAAGCTTGATATCAGTTATGTGCTTACGAAACCGTAAGTCCATGAAGGACATACCTGATCTATGCAATCCCGGTGGAACAAATGCTTGCACTTGTTCAGTTGCCGAAGCTCATCGGCCACCTCATAGTCACTTAAGCAGATCAAGCAACGTTCACCTTCGGGTAGATGAATGTTACCAGTACCCTCTAGAGCCTCCGCGATGAGGGTACCTCCGTATTCGACAAGTCGGAACATGCCACCAGCGGAGGTGAGATCGTCCTGAGTAGCAACAGGTGGTTTAACTGGCCCAAGAAGAGATGAGAGCAAGATCATGTCTTCATATGTTGGGTTCTGCGAGTTGTCAGTCATAAATGAAAGTCTAACACGGATGATCGGTCTTACATCTGTGAACAGGCTCGGAGTAGCAAAGGCAGGATGATTTTCCGACAGATTGGTTCCAACAACATAAATCAACCAGCTTCTGCCCGTAGGAGGAGTGCCGTTGTCAGGTTCTACCACGCCGTTGCGTCTGACCGCACCAGATCCTAATTCACGATGGCGCGCATACTCGGAGTCACTACGACGTCGTTGTCGTGTTGCCGTCGGCGGGATGCCGTCTTCGACCGACTCAGCCGTGGGTTGCAATGCCCTATTCTCGTCAAGCTGAGGCATGACGCTCGGAGGAACTGCGGACGCGGCAGACGGCCTTCGGCTTGGGGTAGAGGTGCCCGATGACACGGCTGATAGTCCTGGTTCAGCGGGCGTTGATGGGGGTGGGTGAGGCCCCGGAGGGCTCTCCGACAGGATAGAAGGGACTGATGTGAGCGGAGCGCGGCTTGCCGTATCAGAGAGCCGTCGTGAGGGGTGTAAATGGCCCTGAGAAGACGGGTCACCCATGCTATTTGAACCATTGCTGCGGGGTCGAAGGCGAAGCTGCGGTAATCTCGGTCTGCCTTCACCACGTGATGGGAAGGTCGAATTGCTATCCTGGCTCCGTGACAAGTTTCCAGGGGTCAAAAATGGCAGACGAAGCAGTGCATCAAGCCCAGGAGCCGCATTGCCGCCCTGTTCCCCGGTGGAGCCATTACCTGACGGGACTGAGCGAACCCCAACCACAACCAAGGTGACAGTGCGACCTTCCGGTCCCTCGGTAGGACCGTCAACATCCATCTGTGTTCCAGTACCGCTTGCATCATCGCTGTCCGCACCTGGGCGATCTGCGGGTCCACTGGGCCGAGCATTGTCCGAGTTGGCAAATCGAAATACCCTTAAGAAGTTGACTGGGGTTTGTGGAGCAGTATCCCCTGGGGGAGTCGGTGCATCGTTAGGAGTAGGCTGCTGTGCAGATGTTGCATGCTGCAAGCTTTGTATGAAGTTTTCAAGCGAACCATCCAGGCCATCGTTCCCAAGAGATTGAATGTTGGGCATAACAGGCCCAGTCGTTCCAGATAGTTGGGCAGCAATGGCGGCAGCTGCCAGCTGAAGTACACGAGATAAAGGTGTTTGTTCCTCCCGGCGCAGCATGCGTGATGACCTCACCCGCAGCGAATCCGGGAATTGTCGTGACCCGGGAGAACCCTGCGCTGACTGCGACATGGGAGAGGTTGGCCGGGAACTTCCCACTGCCGGCTCCACCGAATCGAGTTCATGGGGCTCATCAAAGTCCATCCGTGTATCCATAGCTGTTGGGTATGGAAGAAGGCCTTCATGATCTTCACCAGGAAGTGATCCCAAGGGTAACTGCGGCGGTGGACCCAGGTTCTGGCCTGAAATGTTCGATGACTGTCCAAACATGTGTGTAATCGGGCCCGAGATTGAATTTCGCATACGGTTCAGTCGAGCACTGCGCCTCCACGGGCTTCTGGTGGCTTCAGAACCATTTTCTGGCGAGGCGAGATATGCGCCAGGGCTGGAGGGGTCAAGAAGGGGGTCACTGCGAGGAATGTAGTAGGGCCCACGTGCTGAGCGTCGTCTGGAGATCCCACTGAACGGGCTGAACCGACTGTTGCTGTGTGTGGTTTCAGTTCTGGGGACTGATCTGGAAACGATGCCATGGCGGTGAGCGTGACCTTCTGCTGGTGTTTCCTCTTCGCTGCTTAGTAGGCCACGGATCACGGAGTTGGGTAAGATTCTGGAGCCCAGCCGAGACATGGTGGACTGCCTTCTCGCTGCCATACGGGCAAATATGGCTGAACGACTGTCCCGCTGGCTTTGTCCTAACTGTGAACCGTCCTCCTGCTGCTCGCCGAGTGAAGACATCATGGGCTGCGGATCCTCAGGCAGTTCGGCTCCTGTCGGTCCATGCTGAATTCCACTGTTGTCTGCTTCCATTCCTGGTGGGGATTGAAAATCCCCCGTTTGATCCGAGTTGTGCCTTTGATTCATATCTTCATCCCTATCTAGCCGACTTCGATGCGCGTGAAAAGAGAGAAAGCGTTCTGAGGGGGTACTGTGACGATGATTTCGTTGCGTTGAGGAAGACTGTCCCATAGTAACAGCAAGGCGATAGTAGGCCGTGGCAATGGATGTTTATGAGCTGCCTATTGCCATCCAGAAATTGATGACTAAAGGTGAAACCAGCATTAGTCAGACAAGACACAGCTGCAATTCAGTCCAAACCAGTGGAGTCCACATGGAAGATGAAGGAAGATAAGAGGTTAGGATAAGGCCCCGTGGTTGAAAAGACAAACATGTAGGCAGCGCACACAAACTAGCGCCACCAGATGGGTACCAATTTGTGGGCGACACGAGGGTAGTGCCCAGGAGATACGTACCATTTGACAGTTTGTCTCAATAAGCCGATGACATCCGATGCTGACTACAAGAGGATCTGAGAGGTATTCCAGAACAAGGCGGCTGAGTTGGGTGAAGAGAGTGTGTCTTCGCAGGAAGGACGCAATGCTCAGGTCGCAGCTAATCGTTAGGCTTCTTCCGCGTCACAGAATGCAGCAATGGGAATCAAGTGCTAATCGCGGTTCGCGACTTCACGAAGATAGTGAAATTTCCCCCAAAAGCGTTCCCAAATATGAAAAGTATTGAAGTGAAAATCAGCCTGCCAGCAGGTGTCTGCCAACCCTTCCAAAAGCCAGAAAGGGGAGGTGTATGGCGCGGGTTTTTTGTATTTGGTTTTAACGCCGTACGACTTTAGAGAGGGGGGGAGACCCCACGACAATCGGATCGGAGTAAAGTGCGATCGTATGTATGTACAAGCGGCGAAACAAAGAAGAGAAAGGAGGGCAAGAGAAAAAGAAAAGTAGAAAGAGAAAGAGGGGAGACAGTGAGGGATGGAAGGAGGAGGTGAGCCTTGCAGCTCAGGGATGAAGCACGAAGACGGAGGGAGGTTTGAGGCTGATGACGATGATGACGGGATAGAGGAATAATGGGGGACGACGGAGAAGGAGTGAGTGAGTAGGTGAGTAAGTAGGTAGGAGGAGGGGGATAACATAAGAAACAGTAAGGTTCTCGAGCCTCCGAGGTCTGGAGTAACGTACACTGTAATCTACAGTTCTGTTGAGGTGCCCACAGTGTGTCCGGGACGCCCGATCGGAGGGCTTGAAGGGGCTCAAAAGGGATTAGCGTCATGGCGGTTTCGGCGGTTTGTCTGGCTGGATTAGGCTTAGTGTGGATAGTCGGTAACGTGCTTGAGACAACTTAACATTGAGCATTCGGTTCTGAGTCCATCCCGATATCTCACTATCTGCCCTCCATTATTGGTCACTTCACCCCATGCAGAAAGACTTCCATACACATCTACAATATATTCCCTACATAGTAGGACTCTCTTTCTCCCCTAAGTAGCTGCTGACGCCTCAGAGTGCCAGAGTTTGAGGAGATTTGAAAAAAAAAAAAAAAAAAAAAAAAGGTCTTATCGGGAGGAGAACCGAAAGTCTGCATGCATGCAGTACGGTGTCTGATTTTCCAGCCAGATTCAAATACTCTAAATGGCCACTCCCCATGGGACCTTAATTTGCCTTGGTCATATATTGTCACTGAACAGATAAAGTTCTCAGGTTCCGAAAATTCAGATCTTCATGGCATCTGTTCCTTCGGCTTCCTTCTTCTCCTTGCCGCTTCCTCCATGGCAGCAACCTCAGAGTGCACGGGTGGCTAAATATGAGGCCAAGAAGCGCAAGAAGACCCTTGACGACTGGGGTGACAATGATGATGACGACCTAGGAGAAACCACCGATGCTGCTTCGGAAGTTGCGCTGCCTGCGCCATCTCTGACGTTATCACCAGATGAAGCTCACCAGTACCGCGTTGCGGGCTTGTCTTTCGACCAGGAATTACCGGGCGGCAAGTTTCCGCATGCTCCTGCACAGACCCAATATTCCACTCGACAGACGCGGGAAGGGGTACTTGAGACTCTATCCTCTCTATCGTCTCCCATCTATCCGCCCCAGTCTGCTGCTCATCAGGGTAACCTCCGCCTGCAGCACCTGGCCGTGCTGACATCTATATTGCACCGCTGTCTTCTTCAAAAAGACTATGTCCGAGCGGGAAGAGCCTGGGGACTACTGCTCCGAGAGGAATTTAATGGAAGGCCGATCGATGCGCGGACGGAGGGGAGGTGGGGGATTGGTGCGGAAATTCTGCTCCGGCGCGGCCGTCAAATCGCAGATATGGCTGCTGAAAATGGCAGCGACCACGGCGGTTCCCATTCACCAGGGTCGGGGCCACAGCTCATGTTCACAAGGAAGGGCTTTGAGGATGCCAAGAAGTATTATGAGAGGCTGATCATCCAGCATCCATACCGGAAGGCTTCTCCAGACTCCATCAGCTCATTGCATTTCTACCCTGCCATGTTCGGCCTCTGGGTGTACGTGGCCCAAGAGGAGAGCGAAGTCAGTCGACAAAAAATCTGGACTCGTCATACCGATGAATATGGACAGCATTCGGAGGATGAAGATCTTGCCTCCGACCACGACGGCCATCGTGATTCCAAGGAAAGGGCCCATGCGCTCATTGCCGGCGTGCGCAAAGCGGAGCTCAATCAAGCGCAAAAAATTGCGGGAAGAATGGATGAAATTCTTGGCTCTCCGCCCTATTCGGATTCTCCAGAACTGTTAGAGCTCAGGGGAATGGTGTCACGCTGGATTGCTGATCTATTTGTGTCCTCTGTGCCTGGAGGACAGACCGAGCACGACTACTATACCGATGACGAGGACGAAGACTCGATGTCCGACAACATGCAGTATTCGATTCAGGATAGACGTGAACGTAGACTTGCGATGGAGAAGCGTGCGTCCGAGACTCAGAAGTCCGAAGAATTCTTCAACAAGGCCAAGCAGCGTGGCAAGGGGGTAACTTCTACTCTTGATGACTTCCACATTGATGATAACGAGTCGATGGGCTATTGGAGTTAATGTTATGTGTATGATTTGGTTGGTGCAAAACATCATGATTTGAATATATGTAACGGCATCTCTCCACACCGGTCTATATTAAAATCCCGATGTAAAATCTGATCCCCACCTCAAAACCTTGAAACAATGAGATTGGCGTATAACTAAACATGTGAAGAAAGGAACGCATCCATAAATTGAGGCATTCATCAGGCTACACCTAACAATGTACTTTGCTGTACTGCACCACGTGACCCCGTGGCTGCCTCGTGTGCCTGACAAAAGAATCCAACGCGTTGACCAACTTGATTCGACCACTTTTCTCAAACTCATGACTGCCACGACGCTACGACTATGTTACAATTTTGAATCTCGACATATGTACTTATTGTGATGCGCACAGGTCGAGCATTCACCGAAGACGCTTTTCATAACCCCGTTGGAAGAGATCCTTCTGCCCGACTCAGGTTTCTCGACCGTTGAGCCTTGCTCCACTGCTAGTGACGATGGGCGTGGGAGACTATGTGCATGCCAGACCACCCGGCGCCCAACCGCGATCTCGCACAAGTGATCATCAAAATTCAAATCTAAATCAAAACCAAAATCTCTCATCCCGACAGGCTCTAGCAGCCCAAGCAAGGGTTGAAGTACCGTCTACCAACCTGATTGCTCCGGTACCACTACCGGGCAACCAAGCCAGCCTATTTGAGCACTATGCGCAGCAGCCGCAACCACCACCAGTCGAAGATGCCGTGCACAGGGACATGTTCGACACCGACGTGGAGGGGATTGATGACTCGACCGTCGCAGCAACCAGCGTTTTGGGATATGATGACCTCCCCCCTCAGTATCAATTATCATCAACCGCGCAGCATCACGCCGCCGCCTCCGACCCGAAGTTATTCCAACCGCACCCGTCCCAGTCCCATCTCCCGCAACACTCGCACGACGCCAAATGGTACGCGAGCTTTGGCGACAACGCCCTGAAGTCGGCCGGCTTCGACTCAGGGGATGCGGCCGACGATGCCGAGAGCCAGTTAACCTCCGTCGTTGGGGATGATGAGCGGTCCGACACGACCGAGGACGCTGCGGATTATGCTCGGCGCTACAGGTCGTCAACCACGACGGCCAACGAACCCTTGAGCAAGCGTCTACAGAATTTCTGGAGCGCCAGCCGTCGCACCTATCAGAATGCCACCGAGGATCCTCCCGCGACCGCCGCCGTGTACCCGGAGCCGGCTAAAGCGTCCGGTCCTGGAATCCTGCGGCAAACCCACTCCGACTCCAGGATGATGACCGCTAGTCAGGTCTTGCCCCTAGCTGGCGGCAACAGCCGGAAAGTCACCCTCCCACGCAGCATGACAGCGACCCCCCGGACGAGGTTCAGCCCCCCGAAGCCCACCCTCCTGGAACAGTTAGATCTGACCCCGACCCGCCGGACGTCTGGACCTCGCCCTCAGCCAGGCAAGGACGTGACAGGCGGAGCCGGCCACTACCAGCGCCCCCACCACCAACAACAGAATCATCGCGACGTCGCGGACGAGTACGGCCTTTTTGACAGTGACTTTAGGAGACGTGGGAGCCTGCCCCCGCTGAGTGCCTTCGACATCACCAATATCGATGACCTGGACAACGACCACGATGATAATGACGACCACAACAGACACGACCACGACCACGAACCCATCAACGACCCCTTCTCCCGTCGCCTATCCGTCCAGCGCATCAGCCCAGACAGTAGCTCCAACCCCGAACCGGAAGAAGACCACCCTTCCAAAAAACGCCAGCTTGATCCTGACTACCCTCCCGAAGTCCTCCGCCAAATGTCTTTCGCGGACCTCCAATCCGAACCATTCGACTACATCCCCAACTCCGCCGCCTCAGCCGCCGTCGCCGAAACAAAAACCACGCCTCCCCCTCCGGTATCCTCAACAACCCCAAGCATCGCGCCCCCCGCACCAGACACGAAACCCGAGGAGAAGCTGTCGCACCTGTTGGGTCTCTCCGACACGGACCGCCGGGAGTTCTTCTCCGGTCTGACCATGGACGCCTGGGAAGACTACGGCGACCTCCTCATCGACCAGTTCTCGGCAACGTTGACGAAAATGAAGGATCTGCGGCGCGCGCGCCGGCAGACCGCCGCCGTCTTCGAGGCGGAGATCCGGAGACGGCACGAGCTGGTCGAGGAGCAGTCCGCCGAGTTGTCCCGGAAGCTCACGGATATGAAAAGTGGTGGGGCGGAGGTTCTTCGTGGGCGGACCCCTCAGTGAGAGTTGCTGAATAGGTAGGGAAGGTAGTGTGAGTGAGTGAGTGAGTGAATGAGTGTGCTCATTCATGTTCATGTGATTGCGGATGAGAGGTGGCTCAAATTTGCATTTTGCAGCAGGCTTTATTTAGTCTTATTGCTTAATTTTCCGGGATGGGGCATACATACTACGAGTAACTCTGATGTGCTTCGTTGAGGTTCATGGCCTTTTTTTCGTGTTTCTTTCTCTTTCTCAATACTACACAAAATATCAATATACCCCCTTTCTACGTGATAAACACTTTTCCAGACAAAGAAGGTTCGCATTGTTGGTCCTAGAAAATGCTAGACAAAAAGCTTGATGATTTGCCCAACTGGCTGGAAAATGCAACATGCTTGTTTTTGGGACACTGAACGCCAGCAGTGATCCCACGATCTCACAGAGAACCAACCGATCACAAAGGAACGTCAAGGGCTACTACGTCCCACGCCATGGAGATGATAATACACGGAATCAGTACAAGGGATAAAAAAAAACATGTTCAAAATGAGTGTTGTAGCTGGCCCGACAGCATTGCGTCAGTTCGAGATCTGTTTCGATAACGCTGCAGCCAGCCGCTTGTAATCCTCAAGAAGGGTAGACACGTCTGCGATAGTCATTTCGCTAGCGTTCTGCATCTGGACGAAGCGTTGGATAGGCGGGTCAACCTTGGGCGGCTCGGGCTTCGGATCGGTTTTGGATGAGGTACTGTGGATGGAGGATGAGGAATCGCGGGAGACGATCGATTGCCGGATTCTCTCGGTCGGAGTGTTGGGGGACGAAAATGTGGTGTTCGGCGTTTCCGGAGCAGCACGGCTGAAGCTTCTGATCATGCCGGGAATATGATTAAGTGGGTTGAGCGTGTTCCCAAAGCTCCGCATGGATTCGAGGGGTGTAGGTGTCGACGTTGCCGAAGACATTGCAGGCGATGCCTGAGACTCATCCTTCTGCAAACCTGAAGAGCCGGCCGTCTTCCGGGCGCTACCCTGCGTCCGAACGCTGTCCGCACTTCGATCGCGAGGCGTTCTCTGACCACCAACCAACCCTAAGAGAGTATCTTCTGCTTTGGAGCCGATTCGCCGCAGTTGCGGTCGATCCGTGGCACGAGGCTCGCGGGCTGCATTTGTATCAAGGTTCAGACTGCTCTCAGATGCAATGGGCGACGTAACCAGACGTCGAGCTTCTGCTAGTGTCTTTGGCACAACTGGGTTTCCTCCGTCTTTGGTAGCAAACTGAGTAGTTTGTAATTCTTTCAAACGACCAAAAAGGAAGTTGAAGCTGCTGTCCAAGGATGCACCTATATTCTTCAAGCCCTGATCTGCGGTGTTACGGACTGCGTCGTTCGCAGCACCGAGTACCTTCACGGGAGGCTGGAATAGGTTATTCAGCCGGCCTTGTTGAGTATTTCTCGTAGACTGTGTTCTGGGAAATGTGGCCGATGCCCCTGGTCCAGCTGGCCTCGATAGTTCGGGTGAGGCCGTCGCTGATGTGATCGACGACACTGGTGTATCCTTGGCAGGCTGAGGGGAGTCAGTCTTTGCGACTGTCGTCGAATCATCACTCGAAGTTTTTGTCTGGTCTTCATGCAGCGCTCCTCCGCGGAGGTCAGACAGATCCACATTCTCAAGGAAGCTAATAGCGGCCTCAAGGTTCGTCAAACAGTATGCGGTCTCACCATCCATCTTACTGGATGATCTGAATCGCTGTATGAAGAGCAGATTGCTTATGACGTTCATCCCTTCGGGAGGACTGGTAATGAGACAGTAGATCAAGGTAGGTAGGATCTCATCAGCAGACGATGATGACGGCAGTAATTTAGTCAGAGCATCAACTATGGCCTTGTGCGCGGCGGCCAGTTGTTGAAGCTTGCCCAATGGATATTTCTCATCGTTCATCTTTGCTAGGCAATCACGGGCGATCGAAAGACAGTCATCGGCCTCTTTCTGCTTCTCCTCACTGATAGAGCTTACATCGAGCTCTATCCCAAGATCTTTCAGGTTTATGCCAACCAGGAGAAGCGCCGCCGTCTTTGAGCGCAATTTTTCGTCCCTGATTTCATCCAGGGTGCTTTTATGCCTCCATAACTTGTCATAGATGCTCTCGCAAGCCCTCCGCTCAACGGCCTCCTCCAGAGCAATGCGCTTGGACGCCAGATGCTTCCGAGCGATCCTCTTTTCCGTCACTTCCGAGGCAGTCAACATCTGCCGGCCATCCGAGCCCTGAGTGTTCGAGTTCCCTCTGCTGCCGTACGGCGACGGATCACGATTTATGCGCGACGCAAGAGCTGATATGTGGGTCGCAATATGTGCTTCGGCCCGTTCGTAGAATTCTTGGAAGCGATCCGAAACCCTGTCGGCCGTTGGCGGAGACGAGTGAACTTTTGCAGTGAGAGAGTTGACGAATCTACACAACATCAAATGTTAGCAATTATGCTGGACAGGACTTGTGGAAGCCCAGCACAAAACTGTACCTATCGGTAAGACTGATCAGCTCGATTGGGAGCTCTTCCGTGTGGTTTTGCATGCCTCGCGAGAGAACCGATGTTTCCTCCCCTTGCCCGTCGTCGTCGTGTGTCAAGTCTGGGGAGCTTGTCTTTTCAAACAGGTCTGGACCGGAATCCTGCTCATCTTCTGCTGACGATAGAGGCAAAGGAAGCGATTCCGAGTCTACCAGTTCTGGGATTGCCACCGACTGAACGGTCTTGGCTCTGGAGCGGATGAAAGGGCCGGGCTCAGAGGAATCCATTCGAGGGAACGAGCGCGCAGTGTGGAGGCGTGGTTTTCCAACGCCATGATCGGGAGTGTTGACTGACATAGTTCCTGCAGTCAAACCTTCGAAAGTGATATTAAGTCAAGTGATGGGGCCTTCACGTCCAGGTGATAGGCATATGCAGATCGAGGTATGTATGGGGCCAGTGCGTTCGACTAGATGACAGCTGGAAATCCCCAAGTGGGATAGAAACAAGACAAGAAAATCAAGATGAAAGGAGATCAATCGAATTTAAGCGAAGAACACGCGCACAAGCATGATGGAAGACAGCAAGCCACAGCGGCGCAGGAGTACCATGGAGATCGGCCTGCCCGTCAGTCAGCACTCTACGTTGTAGTATAGGAATAGAATCACCAGGTTGGGAATTGTCAACAACTTCCGCCTTGGAGAGGGGGAGCGGATCACGCGCAGGTCACGTGGGCGGGCAATGAGGACCTCCGCATTAATGCGTCATTCACCGCCTCCCCATTGATAAGTCAGGTCAGGTCTGGTCAGTAGGTCAGTAGGTCAGCCTGAGTAGGTCCCGTTACCGCGGAACAGTAGATCGCCATCTCCGACTTGGATCACTCTCTCGCCTCTTCAAGCATCTATCCCTGCTTCCCCCCATATCCTCTTTTCTTTCCCCCCCCCTCCATGTCGCCATGAACAGCTATCGAGGACGATCAAGAAAATGTTCCCTCTGGGACACCAAGATCTCGGATCTTTTCTGGCCTGTAGCACTGCTCCCAGGCCTTGTCTCCGCTTATCAGCCCGTATACTTCGGCTCCCGACAACAGTCGCCCTTTCTTCCCCCTCAGATCCCTTTAGCGAATTCACCATCGCTATCCGGGACCCATGAGTTTGTGAGTCGGACAGATCTGTGCTGCAACCCTGTCTCTGTCGTACGGCCACTGATCAAATAGACACTTCGCCACTTATTCCATCGAGGGACGCATCAAGACTCCAATCTCCACCTAAGGCTGGACATCCAGCCAGAGACCCGTCTTCGGGCCGTCTCAGAGGATGGCCTTGAATCCGAATCTGTTGCCGTCAATACCCCGCTGCTTGCAACTTCCGAGCCACTCACCATCCAACGGCTGGCCGATCGACGACTTTCAGTTATCGATGATTATCTATTAGCCGCCAGGTCCTCAGGATCGGCGGTGGCTTTATCACCAGAAGCCTGGGTCATGGATACGCTGGCCGGTCCCAACGTTACAGATAAAAACACAGTGATTACGATGGCAAAGATGACCGCAAACGATTATATAGAAGAGCCAGGTACGGGTGAATGGCAAGATATACATGGTCGCTTTAATCATTCCGGGAGTTTTGGGTGGCAGGGTGACGGGCTGCGAGGGCATGTCTACGCCGACCAGACAAACAGTACTGTCGTCATTTCTATCAAAGGCACATCGCCGGCGGTTTTCGACGGAGAGGGTACCACCACAAATGATAAGCTCAACGATAATCTTATGTTCAGCTGCTGTTGTGGGCAGGGAGGTTCATATCTCTGGCGCCAGGTGTGCGACTGCCAGACATCGTTGTATACGGCCAATCTCACGTGCATCGTCGAGGCGATGCAGGACGAAAATCGATACTACCGTGCTTCGCTGGACCTCTACTCAAACGTGATCGACATGTACCCAGATGCCAACATCTGGCTAGCAGGCCATTCTTTGGGTGGCGCCGTGGCCAGCTTACTAGGCCTGACGGTCGGCGTACCAGCGGTCACTTTTGAGGCCGTGCCAGAAGCCCTACCTGCCGCTCGCCTTGGTCTTCCCAGCCCTCCAGGTCATGATGCACGATTCCCTCAGTCGCGCAAGTTTACCGGGTCTTACCACTTCGGCCACACTGCAGACCCTGTGTACATGGGGACCTGCAACGGCGTTAGTTCCGTATGCACATGGGGTGGTTATGCCATGGAGTCTGCATGTCATACGGGTCAGATGTGTGTTTATGACACCGTGGAAGACAAAGGCTGGCGTGTCGGGATGACCAGACACCGCATTCAGTTCATTATCTCTAACGTTCTTGAGGATTATGATGATTTGCCGCCTTGCGCCCCTGAGGAAGAATGCTATGATTGCGAACTCTGGAAGTTCTTCCGCAGTAACGGCTCCGAGATCACCACCACGACGACTACGGCCACGTCCACGTCGACTTCCTTCTCCAGTACCCGCACATCGACCTGCAAGACTCCAGGATGGTGGGGTTGTCTGGACGAGACCACTACAACGGAGCCACCATCGACGACCACTTCGACATCTACATCAACCTGCAAGACGCCAGGCTGGTTTGGCTGTAAGGATCCGACCACTACCTCGGACGCGACCAGCGCACCAACCATCACGACCACCGAGCCCATTTCATCAACCACCACGTGCAAGCATCCCGGCTGGTTTGGTTGTCGCGATCCCACCTCTACGAGAACCGCCACAGCCACAGCCTCCAGGACGCCGCCTCCCGACACGACCTCCAAATGTGGCAAGCCCGGCTTCTTCTGGGGTTGCTGGGACGCTCCGACTCCCCACGAACACCTGATCACCCCTGCCCCTACTCTACCTTCCTAGAGGGGGCATCCATCCAGCATCTTTCCGCCCTCAACTCACCCCCCGCGGCTCCATTGCACCACCACATTACTCCTCTCCAAATCTAGAACTCTGATCTGTTTTGACTATTATCGCACCCAAGACTCGAGCCCCTCTCATGGGGCCGTCGAATTGTACTTCTGAGCGGGCGCAACATGTGCAACTAGTATTTTGATTTTGTTTCTCCGGGTTGTTTGAGCATTTCGTTTCTGGATCTTCTTGGTTAACCCTTCACATTCTGTTGACAACTATCTATCTGCTAGGGTCTGGAAACGGCAGTGTCTGTCACTTGTCTTTACTTACTTGGGCACAATCGCATTCACGTTCTGGAATAACGCTTCTTGGCTTATGAGTTTGCGTGTCCTTTGTCCTTGTGCTGTGTGCTGTTTCCGGGCGTTTTTCTGGGGACTACACCATACCACAGTCATATATACATACATCTATATACGCGCGATATCTTGAGAGATCATTCGAATTGCATCTTGTCCGTCACTGGTACCACCGAGGAACCGCGACACTAACCTGGAACCTCAACACGTGGGGCTGCTGGAGAACTACGTATACACTGGCACTCATGAGATGAACGCGAGGCGCGAAGCATAAAGAGAATTGTAAAAGGTATCATTCTAGATCGAGGGACTTCGTGAGGGTGCTTCTGTCACATTTACAGAGGAAGATAACACAGGCTGCATCATCGCTAAATGGAGTGGGCGACGTTCGTAGGCTCTTTTGCGGGGCCAGTAAGAAAGGCTAGAAGAAAGCAAATTTTTGATTTACAGACGAGCAGACTTGACACCAGCGGCCTTGGCCTCGGTCGACTTCTCGATGCGGGCACCGAGGTCGGGGTTGACCTTCTTAAACATGGCATAGGTGGCCTGGCGAACGCGCTCGTGGGCGGCCGAGAGATGGGAGGCGACGTTGTGAACAAAGTTGTCTTGCTGACCGGGCTGGCGGCCGAGGACCTGCCAGAGGCCGTTTGCCTGGGCGTAATCGTCGTCGGTGATGGGGAGCTGCTCCGTGACAATCGAGCCCGTCCACTTCTCGTGCTCCTGGCTGGCCTTGACGGGCTGGTAGCGGTAGGGGCGGAAGGTGGAGGGGTAGTTAGGGTTGGCGCCGTAGTTGCCGTTCACGTTCATGTAGCCGTCGCGCTGCCAGGGGCTGAAGGCCCGGAGCGGGCAGTTGACGGGGATTTGCTCGTAGTTGCCGCCCAAACGGTGGCGGTGGGTGTCGGGGTAGGAGAAGAGGCGGGATTGGAGGACGGGATCGGCCGAGGGCTCGACACCGGGGACCATGTGCGAAGGGGAGAAAGCGGCTTGCTCAACCTCGGCGAAGTAGTTCTCGGGGTTCTTGTTCAGAGTGAACTTGCCGAAGCGGCGCAGGGGCACTTCGCTCTGCGGCCAAACCTTGGTCAGATCAAAGACGTTCCAGCGGAACTTCTCAGCTTGCTCAGGGCTCAGGACTTGGACATAGCAAGTCCAGGAGGGGTTCTCGCCCCGTTGAATGGCGTCGAACAGGTCCTGAGTGTGCCAATCCGGGTTCTCAGCGGCCAGATGAGTGGCCTGCTCATTGTTAAAGGTCTTGTTGCCCTGGTCGGTCTTCATGTGAATCTGGACGTAGTTAAAAGTACCGTCAGGCTTAATCCACTTGTAGGTGTGACCAGAGTAGCCGTTCATGTGGCGGTAGGAGTAAGGAGTACCGCGGTCACTGAAGAGATGCATGACTTGGTGGACGGCCTCGTGGTGGGTGGACAGGTAGTCCCAGAACATGGTAGCATCCTTGAGGTTGGTCTGAGGGTTGCGTTTCTGGGTGTGGATGAAGATGGGGAACTTGGCGGGATCACGAAGGAAGAACACCGGGGTGTTGTTGAAAACCCAGTCCCAGTTACCCTCATCGGTGTAGAACTTGATGGCGAAACCGCGGGGATCACGAGCGCTGTCGGGCGAGCCCTTCTCGCCTCCGACGGTGGAAAAGCGGGTGAAGCACTTCGTCTTCTTGCCCACACCCTTCAGCATGTCAATGACCGTGATGTCGCTGATATCATCGGTAACCTCAAACTCGCCGTAGGCGCCAGCACCCTTGGCGTGAACCACCCGCTCCGGAATGCGCTCTCTGTCAAAGTGGGAAAGGAGGTCGATCAAGTGGAAGTCCTGGAGGAGCAGAGGACCATTGCGACCAACTCGTTGAGCGGCCTGGGGATCCATGACCTGGAGAAGAAATGTTAGCCATGGCGAATTCGGCGAAGCAAGATCGATTGGGAGGGAGGCGAGGGTGCACGAACTGGACAGCCATTGGAGGTAGTGTAGATTGGGGTCTCATTGTAGCGGTAGGTCTCTGAAGATAGAAGTAAATGGTTAGTTCCAGTTTAATTTCTGACCTCAAGTCACGTCTGGTGGTTTGATGGGGCAGGAAGTGAACATACTAGGCTCGTTTTCTTTACCCATGATGGATGGTGGGGGGGGGGGGGGATTGATGTGGCAGAAGAAGATACAGTAATGACAGAGAAGGGGTCTATAGTCCTAATAAGGAGATGAAAGGACAACACGGAATACAGATTGAGAAGGGGTATGTATAGGAAAAGCAGGTTTGGTGAAGGAAGGGAGGAGAGAGGTTGGGATAAATAGTAAATATATGGATTTTCCGAAAAGAATACGCTGGAATCAGAAGGGCGGGATCTGAATCCAGGAATCTCCCTCTCTCGGGCCCTCTCTTTCTCTCCCTTTCTCTCTCACATCAGATCGGATAGAGCTTGACCTTGGCTGGAGCCGACGACGAAGAGGAATGAGGCCAGAGGCCAATGAAACTGGGGGAGAAGGTCGACAGGTTGCTGTTGGGGTCCACTTGCCAATCTTCTTTCCCGGCGCCGAGGTCAACTTTGGAAAAAACAGAAGGTCTTTCCGCGGAGAGAGACTAAGCCTACTGCAGATACCTTAGGCTCTGTTGCTGTTGCACGAATTGACAGAGAGTGGCATCCACGATGATCTCAGTCTTTATTTCCAGCGACAGCGCTGGCTACAAGCTTCAAAGCATCTCAATTGACATCTCTAGACATGCTTATGATGATGATATCCAACTTCTCACCCCATACTTCCATGAACGCCAATTACCCCGCACCCACCGTGCCTTTCCCCAACTTCTCCGATCTTTGTGTCCCCTCTTTCCCCTCAATCCAGAGCCAATCATCACCCCTTGATTTTTACCTTTATTCTCTTACCATAACTCGGTGCAGATCACATCAATGGCCGTATTCAGCGTCTACTGAGTATTTTCGAGTATTTGTGCAGGTATCGAGCCGGAATGGTCGCCATGGCATGATGACACGGCCCAGAAAATCCATTGCCTTAGACGATGCGCCCATGTTCTTAGTCAGTGGACCAGGCCAGCCACAGATTAGCCTGGAGACCTGCAGACTGCGAGACCTGCACGCACTCCTGTCTAGACCGTCCACCGAGCCGATATTACCAATCCGCCTCATACAACCAAGGGGACTAACGACTACGGGTAAGTAACTCAATAACGCGCGCAAGTCGTACCCAATCGGGGTAAAGAGGCAGCTTTCCAGCTGCATGATACTCCGTACTTTGCTATGATTCATAGGCAAGATGATCATTACTATACGTCTCTGATGCCGTTACCTAATGTGGTTGTTGCATGCGATCCAATCGGTTGCGATAAAGGAATAGGTGACAATGTCGACTGGGTAATAAGCATTGCATGTCTGTACAATGGGAACGATAACACTGATTTACTGTACAACAGCCTACGCATTTTGCGAGCCTTGAAGCCATCGGAATCCCCAACCGGGGAACGGAACCAGCGCTGCTCCAGTATCTGATCCACTCGGAATCTGATAAAATGGCGATTGCGCTTTGGATTGTTGTTATGGAGACTGGATGGACGCCGGGGTTCTAATGTTTTGAACCGCACGTCCACCACGGGTCACCTACGGGTCACCTCCACCCATCTTTTGATGAAATGGTCTCCTCCACTAAATGAACCCCAGAAAGCCACAACCTCAACGGGAGGACCTTTCAGATTTGTGTGGTTCAGCCGAACGGCGACGTCCAGTCTGCTGGCGGGCAATTCCCCTGCGGAAACCTCCGTTTCCCGAAGGCGGAATTTCCCCAGGACGCGCCCGCAATGGATTTCTATTCCCGATCTCGGAATCTCTTCCGGACAGGCCTCGCTTGCACCTGCATCTATTCCTCCCCCCTGTGATGCGTATCTGGAGTTCTCAAGAGTCGGACTATCGACGACAAGTCATATGAAGAAGTTTCGAACCAAGGCTCATAAATTGAAAATTCATACTAATACAGGAATCGACATGAACTCAAGAATCGTCGATCGCAGCAGAAGATAAAAGACAGTTCATCAGATCATATCATATGATGTCGGCATCCAAGCACCTCGCATCTCAGGTTTACCATCTCCGCGCGTTGTCGCCAGACCGGTCGCCATTGATGCTGCTCAGAATGTCACTGGTCGACTGTCCAAGACCTTTGGTCGTGTTTCCCACACCCTCACTGGCTCCTCCGACTGTCTTGCCCAAGCCCTCGCCCACGCCGCCCACAGTCTTCCCCAGACCCTGAGTAGCTCCGCCGACCGTCTGGCCCACGCCGCCGACAAGACCGCCGACCGTATCTGTGAGGCCTCCGACAGTCTTGCCAAGGGTGTCTGTCAGCCCTTGCAAGAGGTTGACTAGTTAGCCAAGATTAGCAACCAGTGGGCGGCAGATCTGCCACAAACGAGATCCAAAGGAAGCACTATCACTTCCTTCGAAGTGGGTAGGGCCGAAACTATCCTGATAAAGCAAAAATGAGGGATAGATGATACGTACCGTTGTTGTTGTTGTTGTCTCCAGACGACATGATGTGTGTAGGATGGATGTTATATGTTCGGTAAGATTTATTATTGACAGCGACTGATGAGTAGTCTGATTATTGTGGGCCGGGAGTTGGACTGTAGGGAACAAGCTATTGACAAAGCTCTGAGGCATTCTTTTATAGGGCAGGGTGGTGGGCAGTATCCCAGTGCCCTCGCCACGGGCCGAGTGTGTGCAGCGATGATATCATTGTCCCGTGATAACAAGAAGCACTGGTCCCCAGCATCCTCTCACTTCAAGTGCTCGGCCATGCTAGGTGATAGAAGGGCCTTGAGCAAGACCAAGGGCCATGAGAGGGAAGATGATGAAATAGGCTTCGAGGGATTATGACAGTGGCGTGTTGATCGGCTGTTGTCCAGGCATGATTGGGTGGCCCGCCGTGTCACGTAGATTGATACTGCGGTAATAAGCACGGAGCTCAGTGGTCAATCTGAATTGGCCCGCATCTCCCAGGATGCATGGAAAATTCATGGCACATGGACACCGGAACGGTGAGACAGCAATCGCCATTTTACGTCATGGCTGACTTATGGCCTATCTGATATCTGACCCTTCGCTTCTTTTATACGGATTTCCAGCTGAACGGAACGAAGAACCAAGGGTCAGCCCTGTCGACAACGCATTGTGCTTTGGGTCTCGAAGTTTGCTCAGTTTCTATACTGCTTGTCGCAATCAGGAGCCATAATGATCCATTGATGATGCATTGTGTTCAATCCCTCATCTCATCGTTGGCCACTGTCACTGCCTGTGGCTACATTTCAACAAAGGGCGTGAACTAGGCGAGTGTCCTGGCATCTTGCGAACTGGACATCAATATCTCGACCACTACTCAACATAGAAGCCAAGATACGGGCGCATGCGTGCAGGAGATCATGTGTTGAATCGCGGGGCAAAATAGATAGATAGGACTGCAAGATACAGAGGGACAAGATGTGACACCAAATTTTTGGAATGGGTGATTGTGATGGGAGTGTGATTCTCATTCCATACAGTAGACCCAGTCTGCATGCCATATTATAGTGTAACAGAAAGAATCAAAGGACGGGTCAATATCCTCTCCAATACATGAAGAATGTCAAGACCAGGAACAGTCACGTGTCAACAGCCACGAGGGAAAGCAGCATGCGGAATGGGATGATCTGCAATCAATCAGTCAATCTACATAGTATATCAACAGAGTAGGTGCAGTTGTGACTATCTGAATCCCAACACCATCAATTGTCTCCCCCCGCCAGACAGCTAAAATGCTTGGCTACACTTGATCAGCTGCTCATTTCCGTAGAGGATGACACCCTCCGACCAACCAGCAAATCACCAGCCAACCAACTCCTGAGGTGATAATTCTCTACCCCGCAAACTCTGCTTGCATAGCGTTGCAGTCAATTGGTTCTGTAACCCTAAGTCCTTCCCCTTCCCAACATTTGAACCACTGCACACTTCTAGAATCTCTTGAGCCGTCTCTTAGTCTTTTGCCGACTGCCGATGAGTGAATTTTACGAGCAGTGAGTGGCGTTGGTGGAGTAGTTGTAGTGGACAGACATTATGCCCAGTTCCTGCTCGGGCCCCGCCGCTGGTGCATAAAAATCTAACCCAACAACCGTCCCACTTTCCACCTTCTGCCCATTGCCAATTCGGCCGGGTGCGGAACGTCCCTGATTTTCTTCCTCTCGTGTCTTTCCCCATCCTCAATCTGTTCTCCCGTTCAGTCCCCCTCTGACAATCTTACACCTCTCCTTCTTCCCTCTACAGCTCCTGCCCCTCCCCCCCTCCCCCCCCTCCCCCTCCCCCTCCCCAGGGCATCGCAATTGCTCTTCCAGCATGGCTTCCAACAAATCTCCGGATGCCATTGCACCGGTAGAGCATCCGCCCTCCCTCTCCGACGGCTCAACGGGTTCCGCCGCCAGGATCATCCATAATGCCAAAGCCGCTACCGATAAGGAGCGGCAGATGACCCTGTGGCAGGGCGTCAAGCTCTACCCCAAGGCTGTCGCATGGAGTGTCCTCATCTCTACCTGTATTGTCATGGAAGGCTACGACATCAGTCTGGTCAACAATTTCTATGCCTTTCCTCAATTCAATCGGAAATACGGTGAGCTGACGGCGGACGGCTCATATCAGGTTCCAGCCCGGGTATGTTACACTTTCCTATCATCAATCAATTGATGGCTCCCTGAGGAACTTCCTGCTAATTTAAACTCGTTTCCTTAGTGGCAATCCGGTCTGAGCAACGGTGCATATGTCGGAGAAATCATTGGTCTTTTCATCAACGGCTGGGCGTCCGAACGGTTTGGATATCGGTACACCATCATGGCTTGTCTGGTTCTCATCACCGCCTGGACTGCCATCTTCTTCACTGCGCCCAATGTCCAGGCCCTGCTCGCCGCGGAAATCCTGGCTGGTATTCCCTGGGGAGTTTTCCAAACACTTACGATCACCTATGCTTCCGAGGTCTGCCCCGTTGCGCTGCGGGGATATTTGACGACGTATGTCAACTTCTGCTGGGGTGTCGGCCAACTGATCGGTATCGGAGTGATCAAGGCTATGATCCATCGGCAAGATGAATGGGCTTATCGCATTCCCTATGCCCTCCAATGGATGTGGCCCTTGCCGTTGTTCATTGGCATCTCTCTCGCCCCCGAGTCGCCTTGGTGGCTCGTTCGCCGGGGCAAGATCCAACAAGCGAAGGACGCCTTGCTGCGCCTGACCAGTCTGAACCGGGAAACGGATTTCGACGCCGATGAGACCATTTCCATGATGGTCCACACTACCGCCTTGGAGGAAAAAATCACCAAGGGTGCCAGTTACCTCGATTGTTTCAAGGGCACCGATCTGCGCCGGACCGAAATCGTCTGTATGGTCTGGGCCATTCAGAACCTCAGCGGCAATTCCTTTTCCAATTACTCGACGTACTTCCTGGAGCAGGCTGGGCTAAGCACCGACAACTCGTATGCTTTCGCCATGGGCCAGTACGGAATCAACATGGTGGGCGTGTTTGGCGCCTGGTTTCTTATGTCTGTGGGCCTGGGACGCCGCTCTCTCTACCTGTACGGTCTCTGTGGGTTATGTGTCATGCTTCTCGTGATGGGCTTCCTTGGGCTCGTTCCTGAATCGCACAAGACCCAGGGCGCGTTGGCGACAGGCAGCATGATGATCGTCTGGGCTTTGTTCTATCAGCTCACTGTCGGAACCGTGGCATATTCCCTTGTGGCTGAGCTGTCCACCCGTCGTCTGCAGATCAAGACCGTGGTGCTCGGCCGCACGCTCTACAACATTGTCGCCATCATCTGCGGTGTCCTGACCCCGTACATGCTGAACCCCGGTGCCTGGAACTGGAGCAACTATGCCGGTTTCTTCTGGGGCGGGATCTGCTTCCTGTGCATTGTTTACGCCTTCTTCCGGGTGCCGGAGCCCAGCGGCCGGTCGTTTGCCGAGCTGGACGTCCTCTTTGAGCGGGGAGTCAGCGCACGGAAGTTCCACCTGACGCCGGTTGATGTGTTTGACGAGACGGTAGATCGGGAGGTGGTGGAGCACTACCAGACCGAGAAGACCGTCGTCGCTGAGGGGGCTCAGGCCGAGAAGGCGGCCGCGTGAAGAGCTTCTTTCCTCCTTGTAATACTTTAATAATATTAGATGTACATAGTTACATGTTCGATCATGAAATACGACACGATTAATGATTCCAATTGGGATGTTGCTACCACTCCACTGACGGACAGGGACCATATCATGTGAGAAACACATCCGCAACAGCTTGCTACCTCACCTGGAGACTCCAAACGGATATCAACCGCCTATTCGTTCGACCATTCCGGCTTCTTCTTCCCCGCGAAAGCCTCCATTCCTACCCACGAGAGAAATCATGTCAGCTCACAACCTCTCATCCACTCGTAACGAACACCCCAGCCAAAGAACAAGAAAAAAAAAAAAGAAAAACTCACCAATCTTCTGATCCCGACTCCCAAACAACCCATGAAACACGCGCCTCTCGAACTCGACGCCCTCGCGCAACGCCAGCTCCTGACTCTTATTGACCACCTCCTTGCCCGCCACGACCGCCACGCGCGAGTAGCCCGCGATCGTCTCGGCCGTCGCGACCGCCGCCGCCAGCACCTCCTCCAGCCCGCCCTCGACCACCTTGGCCGCCACCCCCCACTGGCCGGCCTCCGTGCCGCTAAAGTTCTTGCCCGTAAGGATCAGCTCCATGGCCTTGCTCTTCCCGACGGCCCGCGTCAGCCGCTGCGACCCGCCCGCGCCCGGCACCACCCCGAGCTTGATCTCGGGCTGCCCGAAGGTCGCCGTCGCCGTGCAGTAGAGGATGTCGCACATCAGGGCCAGCTCGCACCCGCCGCCCAGCGCGTACCCGGACACGGCGGCGATCACGGGCTTGCGGATGCTCGTGGCCAGGTGCGACCATGGCGCGATGAAGTTGGTGGTGTACGCCGCGGAGAAGGTTAGGGGGGCCATTTCTTTGATGTCGGCGCCGGCTGTTTTGGGGAATAGTTAGGGATGGGGGGTTCGGGGGTTTGAGTAGGAGGTAGTGGCAGGGTAAAACGCCGTTGGACGCCACGCACCTGCGAACGCTTTCTCGCTGCCCGTGATGATGATGGCGCCAATGTCCTTGTCTTCGTCGTATTGGGTGAGGGCATCGTTGAGTTCGCGGAAGAGGGGGCTGGAGAGGGCGTTTAGGGCTTTGGGGCGGTTGAGGGTGACTGTTTGTTTGCAACGGAATCATCAGTCAAATTTGTGAAGAAGAGGGTCGGGTCGAAAGGTTTCACAACGTACTTAGTCCCACTCCCGGCTTGGGGGTCGAGGTGAGGATGTGCTCGTATGCCGAGGTTGCGGAGGTGTATGTTCGCAGGTGGGCGGACAGCGGCCGGGCGGTCCGCGAGGCGACGAGGCGGGAGCAGTGACGGGCGAACATGATGAGTTGAGTTGTTTTGAATAGGGGGAGTAGGAAGTAAAGGTGATAGGGTTTAAATGGTACTGTCAATGGGGCAATGAAGGAGGTGTATCAGTATGTGGGTTATTGCGATGACATCCTTAGATACCTTACCTCGAGTCTCCCCGCAGAGCTGCTCGGCCGCGGCCCGCCAATAACCGGCCGGGCCAAGGGGCAGCATGTTTGATCGGTTTGACTGCAGAGCAGCACGTGTCGCCCATATGGCACGTGAGGGCTGACTCAGATGAGGCGCAGCAGCGGCAGTCGCCATCTGTGGCTTTCCGGGGCCGAAAGCGGCTTAGCGGGAGAAAGCGGCCAGCCAGCAGGCAGTGGACACTTTTCGGATTATCCTCTGGCTATCTGCTGTTGGCTGTGCTGCCCGTCTCGCTGCTAGACTACTGTTTCCGTCGCCTCTCCATCGCATGCGCTGACCGGGAGATTCTTCTCTATCCTTGCGCTTCTCCGTCTCTCGCCCCCCTCCCTCTCTCTCTCTCTCTCTCTCTGCCTTTACCCCCTTCTTCTTTTCTCTTTTACTTCGATTTTGCCGGAAGGATTTGGTATCCTTCCCCTACCTCAGCACCTTCGCCATGGACGTGCCCGAACCCGAGCAGACTCCATTCACTGCCGTCACGGCACAGACTTCCAAACTCGCACGGGTGAGTTCTGTCCTGCTTTCCTCTTCCCATCCTATGGCAGTTATTCTAGTCAGCTCCATTATGCCCGCATTGGAAGATCTTCGCAATCCGGAGCGCAGTTCCGGCGAAGTTGAGCGAAATCAACAAGCCCCATCTCCATACAAACAAATTCACCCGCTGACACACCGGCCTCTTCAACAATAGCAATATCAAACCTACCTCGATGCCTCGACACCGTTCACAGCCTACCGCTGGACTGGCACCGTCGTTCTGCTCCTGGTCTTCTTTTTGCGAATTGTCCTCGCCCAGGGATGGTACATCGGTACGTCAACCCCAGAAACCCGAAACCCGAAACCCCATACAAACACGCGAGCCCCAGAGCTAACCCCTCCTGCTGAATAGTCGCCTACACCCTCGGAATCTACCTCCTGAACCTCTTTTTGCTCTTCCTGCAACCCAAGTTCGACCCCTCCCTGACCCAGGACGAAGGCCTGGAGGACGGTGATGCCGGCGCGCCCAGCCTCCCCACCAAGCAGGACGACGAGTTCCGGCCCTTCATCCGCCGGCTCCCCGAGTTCAAGTTCTGGCACTCGGCGACCCGCGCCATCGCCATTGGATTCGTCTGCTCGTGGTTCTCGGTCTTCGATATTCCTGTCTTCTGGCCTGTTTTGGTTGTGTACTGGATCATGTTGTTCATCTTGACGAGTATGTTCTCCCCGGATACATCTACTTCCCACCACTCGTGGCATGCATACAAAAGATCCAGCTAACAAACCATCCCACCCACCCAGTGCGCCGCCAAATCCAACACATGATCAAGTACCGTTACGTGCCTTTCTCCTTCGGAAAGACCCGATACGGCCGCTCGTGATTTCTTTTTCTTCGGAAGTTCAATCTTCGAGAAAGTTAAATTCAAAAAACCAGCCAGCGCCAGCCAATCGCACGGATGTCCCAGCGACCTAGCGGGGAAACCTGTGCTGCAGAAGTCTGGTGTCTGTGTATGATATGATCCCAGTTGATGAATGCATCATTATCATCACGCTTCATGTCCCTTTCCCTTTTTGTCCCACCTCCTTTCTTTAACTCATATTATTGTTCTTGTTCCTATATTGTGCTTTGTTCTTCTGAGCGAAAGCACACACTCGATGACTCCCCTGGACTACGCCCCAACTTACTTGTCATGTCGTTATGCATTTCCCACACTCCCCTCCCTTCGCTCTGATCTCCCCTTCTGTCGCGTACCCTGGATGTTTTCGACCGGTGATTGTAGATCTGCAATATGGATTATCCTCCATTCAAAGACTTACCCTCACTGCGTGCGCAAATCACAGAACCACGACCAGAAGGGAGAGCAGGGTTGGAAGGAAGAAGCTGAAGGGAGGTGAACAACCCCTTCCACCCACCCACCCATCTTGCCCTTTCACACAATCCCCCTTGCCCCCCCTAATAATTGAACCCTCGATTGATTCTACACTGATTTCTGACGATGAATACGTGGCGTGACGTGACGTGGCCTGGACCCGAAACATGATCCGACTTGATGAGGGAAGGACGGAAGGAAGTGTGGAGGAAGTGTGAGGAGGTCTTGGGGGTTTAGATTAATTCTTCCCTTCAATTATTGTACAGAGAAAAACCTATTGTCCCTTTTTTTTATCCTTCCATTCAGTTGCTGTACCCATTCAGTTCATATCCCGTTCATCGGTTAGCCCCAGGTTTCTTGTTGTTTGGGATCTGATATACATAGAGGTTTGGCTTGATGAGTTAATCAAGGTTGTTGTATCCTGTCGTCGGTATTTGGTTTGCATGGATAGATGAATTTGGGGAGGGGGGGGGTAAATGCTAGTGCGGGTTCAATGGATGTTCTTGATATGGCGGATTTGGCTGTTTGGGGTTGGTTAGGTACTGTACAGTAGGCTTTTGACTCGGCTTCGGTAAGGTAACTACCCTACATAAAGCTTTGACTCTGTTATGACAGCAATACGAGTAGTCTTTTCGGCTTCGCCCTCTATATCGACCTATTATTACCCGGGTAGTCTTTTCCCACCTCGCTAAACATCACATAAGGTGAAGGCTCTTACCAACCAGTGAGGTACTTGACTGAGATGTACTGTACTCGAGACCCAACCCAGTACACCAGCTGGCAACAAAGACAAGAAAAGTCCTACCTCCCACACACTCTTACGCAGCCAGCCAGTACTGTACGGTACCTGCCCCTTCAGTGTTCTACTCATTCAGCGACAAAGCCGACATCGCCCGACTCGGCGCCGGACGATCCAGATCCCGAGTCTTGGTGCAGATCCACGTCGACGCGTACATATTCACACTGGCGGTCATCGACCGGTCACGCGTTAGCAGATGCATCTCTCTCCCACCTCCTAGAGCCACAGGACCGGAAAAAACTCACCGATCAATACAAGTCCCAGGGACTCGCGCCCCGACCCGCCTCGCGGAGAACCCGTTCGCCTCGAAGGACCGGATATACCAGGGGTCGATGCTGGCGGACCGGAGGAGGATGCGGCCGCCCTTCTTCAGCGCGTGGTTGAGTTTCTGGGCCTGGGCGGGGGCGGCGTCGCCCGTGGGGTCGAACCAGTCCATTGAGTCCATGATCTGTTTCGGGAGGTGTTAGGGGGAAACAAGGAGGAAAGGGAGGAGGAGGTAACGGACTACTGCGATGGTGAGACTCTTGGGGGTGATGCGCTTGATGACTTCGTTGATCTCGTCGGTATGAATGCGGAGGCCGTCAAAGGCGCCGGGGGAGGAGAGCTTGACGTGGGATTTTGGGGTGAGGTAGGCGGGGTGGCATCTTTGCGTGATTTTTAGTATGCTTTCGTACGGGGATGAGGGACTGGACTGACCTGCGGGAAAATTGGCCCTGCAAACACAGGAAATAGAAGTAGTTGTCGTTGCTGATGAGGGTGTCCTGGACGACGGGGTCCAACGTGTCCACGACGTACTCCCAGATCGACTGGCCGCTGACGTCCTTGGCCTGCTTCATCTTCGTGTTCAGCCCGTTGCGCTTGTAGAAATCGTCGATGATCATGTTGCGCTGGTTGCGGGGCACCCCGGCCGCCTTCCAGGCGAACCATTCGGTGCCCACAACCGCCCAGTGCAGCGGCTTGCTCATGAGAACGGCGCGGATCTTGGGCCAGATCTTGCGCTGCTCAGCCAGCGTCTGCGCCCCGCAGAGCTGCTGGACCTGGGACTGTAGCCCGAAGACCTTAAAGAGGTACCGGACCATCTTTATGGCATGGCGAGAGCCGCCGGTCTCGTACAGGCCCTTGCCCGAGGAGGAGGTGAAGACGTGCGTGTGCTCGAGCCAGTACTGGAAGGCCTGGCTCGAGAGATGAGGGCTCAGTTTGGTGATGAGGAGCCGGCGGAAGTCCGGGTGTTTGCCCTCGCCAAATATCTTCCAGACGTCACGGTGGCCCAGTGCGATGAAGCTGGCGACCTTGAGCTCGAGAAGATGGTTTTGATTGGGGTTGAGGTCTACGGCGTGCACCCGGCGGGGGCTCTTTTGCAGGTAGTCCAGGATGTTGTCGCCTGCACTGGTGATGGCGAGGATGACGTCGTCGCGCTGGATATTGAGTAGTTTGTGGTCAACACGCGGGTCTTCCCAGTTAAAGGCATAGATGTACTCGTTGCCGAACTGGGTGTGCTTGGGAAGGAGGTCGTCGTAGAAGATGCGGTAATGATGGTTCTGATAAAACGACGAAGGTAGAGGAAGGTTGGAGCCGAGGTTGATGACGGCACTTTCGTACGCTTTGGATTTGATCTCCTGCGTGCTGCTCACAATCGCCGCATCCATTTCGCTCCGATGCTTCGCGGGAGAGAGGTACGGAGACTCTGTGAAAGAGGCGTTGAGCTTCTCAATGGCATCGCGGCCGGAATGGGTAGTGGAGTCCTTCTGGCATCCCACGAAGATGTAGTAGGGAATTCCACCCAACAGATAGTTCCTCTCGCTGGCCGAGATCACGGTTCCGAAGCGGTACTCAAGGTAGTCACGACGAGCAGCCTCAAGACTGACACGGTCCGCGTCGAACCAGGCACGCCAGAAGGCTCTCCCAAGCCAGTTCACATGGCGATTGAAGGCACCGCCAATGTAATTGCGTGAGGAGACGTCGACGATGCTTTGAACTGCGCCAGAGTTAATAACATATGTGCATTATAGTCCGCACTCTGCATACCATAGAAATCACAAACTCCCACAACACCAGAAGGCTTGATCAGCGCAGGCAACGAGTCAATGACGCTGTAGTAGTCTGCACTGGTCAGCATACTTCTTCTAAAGCGGGAGAGGCTACCTACCTGGAATCATAGACAGACTGTAGCTCATAGTCGCCAGATCAGCGCCTGTCGCCGTGGTGGACTCGCAGCGCGGGTCTACCCTCTCCTCCTCGGGCAACCGGAAGGACCTCGCGTCCTGACAGACAACGCTGACGTTCTTCCAGCCGAGTCTCTGGAAACGCTGGCGGGCAACCTCACAAAGTGAGGGAGAAAGATCGACTAGATAGACGTGCGCGAAGAAGTCTGGCACCGAGAGGAAGGCGGACATCGCTTCGATATTATATCTGATGACGCAGTCAGGGCATGAACCGGGAGGGGCTACGGCTTTGATTGACGCTCACCCAGTGCCTCCACCAATCTGAGCAATTAGCTAATGTGCATGTCTCAAACACTGAAGGAAGAACTTACATCAACCCAGATCGCTTCACCAGCTTTGAGCTCCTGGCTGTCAACCTTGTGCTTCAACTGTGCAGCAACAAGGCCGAGCATGTCCTCGCGTCCGCGGAGGAGGCGCTTGCGAGTGGCATCGTACACACTGGCCTTGGAGGACTTGTGTTAGTCACGGCCCCGCCTTGCAAGATGACACGCTAGCATACTTGGGTCTTGTAGAAGCTCTCCAGTGCATCCTGCTGTCCACTTCCGTTCTTCTCATGGGGTTTGAGGAAGCTTGCGTAGATGAATTTCAGGTAGGTGAAGATGCCACTATTGTAGTCAACTTTGCGTGTTTGCCGGGAGGCAAACAAAACTAGTGCGACGAATCCACAGACGGCAAATGCAGCGCAGCCAATGTAGACATGGAACCAGTCCATGCGTCCGAGAAAGGAGCCCGGAAGGTTGCTGCTGGCGAGAAAACTCATGGCGCACCAAAGGCAATGAGTTGTACCGTACAAACACAATGCCTTCCTGTAGGGACTGAGAGAAAGAAATTGAGTCAAAGTTTCGACACTCAATTGCTCCCAGCTTGGGGAGGGGAAGGCTTCTTGAATCAACGGCTCTGCAGCAAGTTGCGGCGCATCTTTTTTGGCCAAACTGTTTGCCCCACTGATGAGCATGACCCCGCCATCTCGGACAGAATTAGATTTGGGTCAAAGATTGGGAAAGATGGACTCCAGAGAGCTATGACCCTATCAAGGAGACACATGGACCCAGTGGGAGATAAACGGAAGAAGGTTAGATAGCTGGTCCGGGTTAGGAAGAGATGGAGTGGAAGGAGGAAGCACTGAGAGGCTCTCCAGTTGTCCAGTTGACTGCAGTGCGGGCGTATACTTCGGATAGACCAATCACCGACTGCGCTGCCGGCACGCTTCAGGGCCTGCCCATCCCTCCTCGGCCAATAATCCCCGCACGGCTACCATGTGTTGCAATCCGCTCGTTCATTTGCTATCTTGCTCTCTGGAAGAACGGAAGGCATCACCGATGCAGTGCTGGAGTTTGGAGTGTTTTTCTTCAGAATATACTTAGTACTCCATGCTCCCACGCCGCGGAGGATTGGAGGAATGCCGCGAGTAGCGCGAAATCGTCTGTTGCTCCTCTCTTGATGAGGAGTAAAGTACGTACTGTATCTTACCGTGGGGTTGGCCTAGACACCAGAAAAGACGGGTCTCTTTATGGATCGGCAGCAGGCGCGTCTGTCAAACGGCGGTTTTATCAGTCAGGCAAACGTCAAGGTAGATAAAGCATCGTTTCTGTATCAGGTCGGCTCCCGAAGTGGCAGCAATGAAGCCTAGACCGCTGCTGACTTGGCAGGAACAACATTCAAGGGCATTTGAGCCATGATCTGGGTGAAACCTACAATGCTCTCGCAAGGGGCCGGTTATCTTCTTCCTCATGTCATTGATGGCTTCCTCAAGGACCAGGATAAATTGCTTCCTGTCTCTCGCCATACCACACCAGCCTTATCCACCATGAGGCAGACCATGACCAGCAATTCGATCCTACAAGATGGTAAAGCCATTGAACGCTTTTGGAGTTCAGGTCACCCACAAAGTTAGAGCAAGAGCACAATGGATCCATACAAAGACCAGGGACGCGGCCATAGACGCAACAGTGCAAAATGGTGAAAATCCCCGTTATCGTATAGTCAGCCTCAATGATACATTGTTGCAAATGATGGACTAATGGCTAGCGATCTTGATGATCACCATGTCCCATAAATGCTTTCAGAATATGTGAACGCCAGCTCAGGGGAACCAGAGCATGAATCTCTCATCGACCACCTCAGACCAAGAAACAAGCCCGTCCAGAAACCTGGTACAATGGCATTGTTGCTTTCTTTGTGAACGTACGGCATTGTGGTCCGACTTTCTATAAGACGCAGTCGTTGGAATCTGCCATTGAAATTGAGTGCCGTTCCTAATTTCAAACTTGCCACTATACCTGCATTATCACATCCTTCTTCTTAGTTCATCAAATACGACCACAATGGCTGAGCAAGGGACATCCGCCGTGGCGACACCCAAGCCGGCCACGTTCCTCACCATACCGCCAGAGCTACACCTTCACATCATCAAGCTTCTGGATGCCACCTCGCTCGTGCGATTGGGCCTCTCACTCCCAACAGGATATGGCTTCATTTGGACCGAGATCCAGAAGAGAGCCAGAAGCGGTGCCCTCCCGTCTCAGGAACTCTACGACAAGCGCATATCGTATGGGGACGACGGTGAGCTACAAATCCACCGCTTCGCTGGAGATGCCGAGTGGAGGAGATCCATCCGTGAGCCTCTTGCGGAAGCTGTTTGCACTGGCGACTTCGAAGTTGTCAAATTCTTCCTGGCAGCCGGGGTGAGTGCTAATTCAATTGACCTGGACGCGGTCCCGATGCTACATCTCTCCTTCCGGCAGTGCCAATATCATATAACAGAGCTCCTGCTACAGCACAATGCTGACCCCAATGTCGTTCGTCCAACAACGGGGCAGATGGCATTGGATTATGCGGTGGGCGGGCCCCGTGGCTCGCCTAACTGGGTTCTTGAAATGCTGCTAGCGGCCGGGGCCAGGTTCGTTCACGACTCCACCTTTATCATCTGCTGCACTCAAAGCTGGGGGCCGGCCTTTTTCCGACTGGCCGCCAAGAATGGAGCGGAGATACTGCCGAAGGCTCCTGATTGTGATTTCAGACTGCAGGCTGCGTATAAGCTTGCGCGCGTAGAAGTGATCGATTGCCTCTTCGACCTGAGACCGAATCTGGTGGCTGCGCGTCATAAAGGATTGTCTGCGCTTGACATGGCGCTCATGTATGGAAGGGAAGATGTTGCGGTCTCCCTCGTTCGCAGAGGTACGCCGCTAGACACCAGTGCAGAAAAGCAATTGACCCTTGCTATGCGCTATGGACATACGAAACTTGTCCGGGAGCTTTTGAGGCATGGCCAGCTGGCGGAACAATGCCCGAGATGTAAATGTGCTGCCATTGACCTGTCGGAAGAACACAGGCGGGAAGCATCTAGAATGACCAGCAGCAGACAGCGTTGGCTCCAAATGATATCATAGACTAATCTAACATGAAGACTTGCCTCCGCGAGAGAGATGAACTCGTAGAGCACGATGCGGAAAACGAAAACGGGTGTACCACCAAGAGCAGTGAAATGTGGGGGGAAAAGCCTACCCTAGCAATGTTTTCCTGGCGATCCACCTACATGCTTCAAAGCTACAGTAATCAATCGGGCGATAAGCATCGGTTCCCGGCACATCCACGGATAAATGATCCGCATGGCAGAAAAGTGGCTTGGCTGCGTTCCTTGCAATCGATTTTGTGGAAAGTCGATCTATGTACTTTGAGTAAAACCGTCAGTTCAGTACATCTGAGCAGAAGTATCCTTGCTTCGCTGGCAAGACAACGAGCCGCCAGCCACGTTGCGAAGTCCTAGGTGTGGACACTACATGCAGTGGAGCCAAATTCTATCCGTAAGCTCATGGTGAGGGACCTTTGGAGTGTGGTTAGTCGATCAGGGGGGAAACCACAGACGCTCCTACCGGGTTGCGCGGTTGATCGATTTCCTTGGCCAGTTTCTTTTCTCCACTGCAGCATAGACCCTAGAATTGAGAACGTCGTGAAAAAGTGATTTACAGTGTGTCATCATGGTTGACAGATCACTGTTCGGACATGAATGGGTGCATGGGTGCATTGCTGACCCTTCCGTCGAAGCGCAGAAGCGCCGAGCTAAAACTAAGCAATCCGCATGTCGACTAGTCATCATATGCAGGATGCGTAGTGATAGAGAGGAAGCCGATTCCGTGCATATCACACAAGTAATGAGCAACCTATGCATGAATACGTATCGCAACTCAAAAATGCCAAGTCACGGCGCGTACTGAGGGATCGACAGGGAGCGAACATTCGCCGTCCCCATTCCCTGCTCCGATGGGAGATAGCTAGATAAGCCGCTTCAATGAGCTACTTAGTAGCATCTCATGGTGACGTCTCGTCGATACTGGCTCAGATTGACCAACCCCGCTGCGATAAGACCAGGACTCTCCGAAGACTCAAAATGGAAAGTCGCATGGAATCCCTTGGGAGTTTCGGACATGGAATGCCTTGCCGGCCGAAGCAAGTGTGCAAGAAGTGAAGTGGCGCAAGGTTCCTCTCACCGTTCAGCCTGACTCAGGTCAAGGTTCTGTTGAATTCCAGCAGGATCAAAGGGGGGGAAGGGCGAAGAGGGAGGACCCCGTAGGGTATGGGGTCTACAGCGTATATCAGAGTACCTTATTTTAGGCGTTTGGAGGATCCACCGGGGAAGCCGGCGGGCGGCGGGCGGGCAACCCAGATCGACCTCACGTGCCCCATTTTCTCCCCCTTCCCGTCTCCACTTCACCGCCCTCTCAACAGTTTGGGGGACTTGGTGGCCAGATCAATCAGGCAAGGAGCGCGGTGGCATCGGCTTAGTCCAAGGTTACTATTGGCGACCATCGCGGTGATCGTTTGCAGAACTGCCAATCAGCGTGCCGCGGAACATCATCAGATTGCCTGGACACACGAATCCTCGGTAAATACCCAGAAGTTGTTGAATCGTCTAGCTCGCTTCTCGAATGTTGTTGGCTGATCCTGCATTGCGTCACGGCTCCCCCCTCCACTCTCTCTCTCTGAGTTATCACGGAGTAAGTTACGGAGTGGGAGTCAACCGGAGTATACTACCACACCGGAAAGAAACCCTGTATTACCCTCGTTTCTGTCTCTCACAAGCAAGTTGCAGTTCCGCGTTTGTACTGGATCTCGTTTGTAGTCACTACCCAAAAAGGAACCCATCTCGTTTGCTGTCCTAGTCGGATTGTCGTATGCTTCCGCCAAGTCCGGGGCTTTTTGTTGAAGCTGATTCTGATAGGATGATGCGGAGAAAGGTAGTTTCAGGACTCCTGATGATCTTACTAGGTAAAATCATCGGGTGGGGTAATCATGAAAAGATCCATGACACCATGATACGACAATCGACAGCTTTCCAGACAAGAAAGGATCAGCTCCAGTACACAGTAAGTACTGGCTGATATGCAGAGCACGTCCACCAGCAGTACCGCTGATGCCGCAGGTGGGGAGAGGATGTGAGAGGGGACCCAATCTATCTGCCTCGAGAAACAAGCACATCCCTGAAAGTAGCCAGCCATTCAACTGACAAGTAAGTCACTTATCTGCTCCCGGTGTACCGGAAAGTTAGTGATTCGTCCGCACAGGAGAGTTGATTGGCTCCTCCATACATGCTTGTTGCAGCGTACTCATGTAGCGCCGGCAAGTAAATCCTGAAGGTGTTGGAGGTACTCCGTACATACAGTACATTACATCTGCAGAGGGCAGGTCCCGTCTTGGATGGTATGTGGTATGTGGTCTGTAAGTAATGTAAAGATGTAAAGAAATAGGCAGAAACAGGCTGAGCATGGAGTCAAGTCAATTTGTGTAGCTTACCATGGTTGACCCCTCCCCATGACCTGTCATTGCCCATTTCTGGGGCAACTGGTTAAATGATGAAGCTGTTACCCTCCAAGACCGACTATCCACGATTCGAAGCCCCTGAGGGGCAGATGCAGAGAAGGAGGAATAAGTTGAGAGGCCCAAAACAGAAGAGATGAGAATAAGATCACCAACAACAGTAATGCCCAAGCATTCTGATTTCCTATTTTGTCCATCAGAAGAGTATGCGAGTTGGTGGTCCCATCTTAGTTACCACTATTAGACTTGGCTAGACCGCCCGCCCCCAGTGTGGTCCCCAGTAGTGTGGGCGGGTGGGTAAAGAAGGGAAGAAGCAAAGTAAAGTAAAGGAAAGCAAAGTGAAATAAGGCAAGGAAGGTGTAGAGCCGGGGCTGCAGTGTAGGCTGTAGCTCACTCGATTCACTCACCCACCTCTGCGCTCCCCCTCCCCCCCCCCCAACGGGTTCCTGCAAAACGGCTGGTCATCGAAGTGCTGCACAGTCTCCGTACAGCCAGCTTCCCCAGGAATTTAAACTGGGCTCCCTCCCCTCGTTTCCTTCCCCTTCTCTCTCTCTCTCTCTTCTCCTCCCAGCCTCTACTTCTACTCTTCCACTCTCTTACTCTCTTATCTACTTCATCTCCATCTTTGGTGACTGTGTATATACATATTCTCATACTCGCATTTGTCTACTTCAAGCTTACCCTGCCCTTCTTGCTTACTGTTTACTTGGCGCTGCCTTATCCGATAACCCTACATACCTTAGCTCAACCATCTCGGTGAATTTCTTATATCACCTGCCATCATCACCTTTCACCCCGCAAAGAATCTATCTACTATCTCCAACAATTCACAATGGCAGCTCCTCGCTCAACTTCTTTGCGTGCTCTGCGTCTGCTCTCGCAGCACCACGCTACTACCCTCCCCTGCGCTCGCCGGGGCCTGCACATCACCGGCGTCCACTCGGCGCAACCGGCAAACGTCTCCGACCGAGCCTCTCTGTACTCTAGCCGCACCATTGCTGATCTCAAGAGTGAGTGTCAGAAGCGCTCCTTGAGGAGCAGCGGTACGCAAGCCGAGGTAAGTGCCATACTAAGTCACACCGTGCCCATGGAAGGGACACACCCCGAACCCAAGCCTAACTCGCAATCCCCAGCTGGTCGAGCGTCTCCAGAACCACGACTTCCTCCAATCCCGCGCCTTCAGCATTGCCATGCGCCGCATCAGCGGCAACTCCATTGCAGAGTAAGCCCTCGACCCTCCTCTCCCCCTCGGGTAAAACTGGACGTCCTCGGAACTGACTTCTCGTGTGGGAAATAGGGAAACCCACAGCCGTCAGTTCAACACTTCCCGGTCCATGAAGGCCGTGGGTGACTCATCGACGGTCGACTTCGCGTACATGCCCTCACTGGCGGAGCTCGATGGGCCGGCCGCTCGCGCCGATCCGCAATTCCCGATTGTCCCCGACTTCTACTCCCACCGGAGCGCGGCCCCGGCGGATTCCCCCATGAAGCCCCAGATCTACACCGTCTCCGGCGGGGCGGCTGATGTCTCCGCCAGTCCGATGACGGAGGTCGTCGACAACCACTCGGTGGACATCGATCCATTCTCGCTGACGGAGGCGGTGGGCAAGTCCCGTTTTGGGGCGGAGTCGACAACCCAACAGAAGGAGCCGGGGGTGTTCCGCGAGCTGTGGACCGGTGTCGTGGATGACATCTTAGGTAGACAGCCGGCTGTTGTCCGAAAGTGATGTCCCTTTATCCATGTCAAATTGTCTTGATTGTCTCTAGCGATGCGTGATGTCTGTTGTGTTGCCTTTTTGTTTATAGTCATCTCGTGTTATCACCAGGTTAAGCTGAATGTTCAACAATGACATATCTATATCTAAGCAAAGGATCGATGTATGGTGTATACACAAGGAGGTAGAGCATCAATCTATCCATCCATCCTCCAGTACACGCGACACGCAACAGACCAGGGATTCTGCATCTGCATGAGCATAGACATCAAGTAGAAAGCTCCGATGAACCGGACCAATCCTTCTCGAAGGACTTAGTCAACTACCCCAGAGAATTGAGTCCGCGCCGCCGGGGAAGTACCACCCAAGTCCGACCAAAGGTTCCCACTTCCCACACTGCACCCCATATTTTCCCACCCGGAAAATCTATGGTCAACCGGCAACGTGGGAAAAGAAACGCCTCCCTCGGCAATCAGGGATAAACTTTATCGTGAGCAACCTCCATGTAGACCGTGAATCTCGGGTGGAAAGGGAAAGTCCATGATGTCGGCCAGGTGGAATGATCCCCCCCAAAGCATCAAATCCTATCCGATATCTCCCGAGGGTGTGGGAATTGTGTTCTTCCACCGCCCACCGCATTGTTTGAACGCATGATGTCCACGGTGGTGAGAGGAGCAGGGTGCTCCGGTTGAGCAAGATCGTCTGCTTGCTTCCCGGAAGTATACATAGGTGTGCTGGCCGTTGATTCATCTCTGGGTCTGTTGGTGTGTTTTGGGGGTGGGGTAGAGGTTGTGAGGTACGATTGGATTGTGCATTAGTTAGTATGCTTTGTGCATTGCGGTTGCGAGCATGCACCAGCTGTCTTGCTTTGATGAGGCATAGTGTACGGTATACCTTGGTTGTTGGGTTACTTTGTTCATGTGTAGAGGTATAAACGGATGACAGGTAGGGAGTCCAGATGGTAATGGTGATTGCCTGCCTTGCCTGCCAAGTCCATGGTTTCGAATAGGACTAGCGCAGTGGTCCAGGCTAACCTCGGCTACCTGAGGATTAAATGAGACAGTTTATTTTTATTTAGAGAACCGCCTACCTACGCTCCCTTTCTACCCATACGAGTGTGTCTCCTTTTTCAGACCTCTGTCATCTCCAGTCTACCCGACGGGGAATTGCTGTCGAATTTATTGGACCAATTGACAGCTCTTCAACTCCTTCTTGTCCCCCTCTCCCGAGAACAATTCGTTCATGCGTTGTGTGGAGGGGGCAATGCGATGTGCTTGTGTGACCTTCAAACGGTGGAGTCTCGGATCACTCCCAACAAACGAAAATTGCAATCGCAGTTCGTGTGATGTTTCAGAGGAGGCTGAGAAGACGAACACCCGCGCACAGGCAGCACTACTTTACTTAGCAGGAATTTATGACCTCGCAACTTTGGCCGGTTTGGGCTCTGTGTGCTGCCGTGCTGTGCCGTGCTGTGTGCTATGCCCACAGTGCACGGCAGCCACCGTCAGTCAGCACTGCGCCCACAGCATCAGGCCCGGAGATTTAGGTGGTTCTCAAGGAAGATCGGGCTGTCCATGCGATCGCGATTGCACGGAGCGTACCGTAGATGAACCCAGCAACTGGCGGCTTTAGAGTTAGTTGTTTTCTTCTCTGACATGTCAGCAGCACTGGCGTTGTGATTGTTGTAAGGCGTCGGCCTCCTTATCCTCATGTTCTGGCAGTACGAACGACATTGGTCTGCGACACTTGATGGGATCCACTGTTGTTGTTGTTGTTGTTGCCAAGTGACGCAGCCCAGAGTGACTGGAACGGTCGACTGCAGGTCGAGTGCAGAACCCCTCAGTGGTACGCACTGTGAGGCAGTCGTCGTCAGCAACGGTGGGAGGCGATTGACGAGTATGCTCACACATAAGTCAAATCGCTCTCGAATAACTGGGGCATTGGATATTCGCATTCTTACACGATTGGCAGAAGAGGATGTAGTGCTTGATGCCACCTGCAATTTGTGTTTGTGTATCTTCATTCACTTGGGTGCAGGGTGCATGAAATTGCTGCTGCTGCTGCTGCTGCTGCTGCTGCTGCTACTGGCTTGGCCAGACTGGCTCCGACTCAGGGGAAACGATCGGGGTCTGGATCGCAGGGCGGCAGCCAGTGGCAGCCAGTGGCAGCCCGTCCTCCCGCTCCGAAAACCTGCCGAGTGGAGATCGAGCATAAACGCATAAACGCATAAACTAAAAGTAGCTTCCTGATTGTCCCTCCACATCCACTTCCACATCCACTTCCACATTCAATTCACATCTCTTCTTCTTCTTCTTCTTCTTCTTCTTCTTCTTCTTCTTGCACTTTCTTCCCAATCCTCATTTTTACTACCCTGTACAGTACACTCTTTCGCTGCTGCATCCTATCGTTATTCTTTGCGGTTTTGCTCTTTAGCCTCTCGTTTACTGCATTGTTTGTTTCGCTGCAGACTGCTAGTCAATCTTTTCCCCCTCTGCCTCGGATTTAGAAATCCACAAGTCTATCACTTCCCTCACTTATCTGATTCAGAGCAGTATTCGGTGGTCTAGCCTACCTTTGTAACTTCTGATATTGTATCGCAACTGCACCCTCTTTCTCTTCTTCGAGTACAACCGAAGCTTCCGGCACTGATCAACATCGAGCCGTCCTGCAAATGAGTCTCCGGGTCATCTCTCAGGGATTCTAAATCGTGCTCGCATCATGCATCCAACCGGATGTCTTCTTGTCGCGGCTTGTATCTGGACCGCGGTTTTTGCCTTCATTCCTTATGAATTCAACCTCGATCTTCCGGCCACCAAACACACCCCGTCTCGTCGCTTTCTGCCGTGGGAATCACTGAGCGATGCACTTGCCAATAGCCAAGCCCAGACCAACACTGACGCGCCCATAACGCTGGATGTGAAGAGAGCCCCTGTCCGTCGCAGCAATGACTTCGATATCGTCCTGTCTAAGACGCCTTCCTGGCCCAATACTGCTGCCCTCGACCAGAACGGCAATGACCTGACGTATTTCGCAGTGGTTAAGATCGGCTCCGAAGCGCAGGAATTCTATCTGATGCTGGACACGGGTGGCACCAATTCGTGGGTCTTCAGCTCCGACTGCACCACCAAAGCGTGCAGCATGCACGACACCTTTGATGCCACGACCTCTTCGAGCATCAATGTGACCACAACCGACTGGAGTGTCGGCTACGGCTCCGGGTCCGCGAGCGGCGTATTGGCCACGGACAACGTGACGATTGCAGACGTGGAGGTGCAATTCACGTTTGGGCTGGCCACCAACGCCTCGAACAACTTCGAATCGTATGCCATGGACGGAATCCTGGGCTTCGGCCGCTCCAACGACACGGCGTACAACACTGCCACCTTCATGGACGCTGTGGCAGACCAGAAGAACTTCGATTCCAACGTCGTTGGCTTCGCGCTCTCGCGGACCAAGAGCGGCGAGAAGGACGGCACCGTCACGATCGGGGGAGTGGACAAGGACAAGTACACCGGGGACATCTCATACACGGACACTGCCAGTGAATCGGGGAACTACTGGCGCATCCCAGTCGACGATGTCTACGTCAACGGAGACGCCTGTGACTTCACCGACAAATCTGCCATCATCGACACGGGAACATCGTACGCCATGCTCCCCTCCAAGGACGCGAAGACGCTGCACGCGCTCATCCCGGACGCCACCGCCTACGGCGACTATTTCCTGCTTCCGTGCAACTCCACTGCCAAGGTCCAGGTCGCCTTCTCCGGGGTCAACTACACCATCTCGCCGGAGGACTATATCGGCTCTGAGTACAACTCCAGCTGCATCTCCACGATCGTCAGCTACGATCTGTTCGGAGACGACATCTGGCTCCTGGGCGACGTCTTCCTGAAGAACGTCTATACCGTGTTCGACTTCGACGCGTCGCGGGTGGGTCTGGCGGTCCGTGCCTATAACAAGAACACCACATCCTCCAGCTCCAGCAAGACCAGCAGTTCATCCTCTGGCACGTCGACCGGGTCTACTGCATCATCCAGCTCGACCAATTCCACCGGTGTGGTCGCCAGTGGCGCAACGTCCCAGTCGGGCTCCAGATTCTACCTGCCTGCGTTTGTGGTCGTCTTGTGCACGGTTCTGCTATAGACGGCCTCATTTCTCGCATGCACATATTGGGTAAAAGACCATTTCAATTCTTCATCTACTGTAGTAGATTGCGCCTCTGCACGAGCATTTCCGAAGATAAACCCATGTGGTAGTCTATTCTTAGCCTACAAATAGAGTTGCTCTTCCTGACCCAAACCTTAAATTCCGAGCTATCGTTTCACCTTTCCCATACCACGATTATGTATGCTCTATCTATACAGCGGGCCCACTTACACTATCGCATGACTGCAGACTAGAGAACGCGATCCGGGATCAAAGTGTACGACTTGGGGTATGATTCTGAATGCAGCCGTCAGCTTCGCTTCATCATGGCCTGCAACCACCCCCCACCCTTGTTCCGGAGAAACATACCTAGACAGTCGCGATCGAAGTCCTCGACGCGATTGAACCCCGCAACCGCCATGAGGATATCAAAGTCGGCCAGCAGCGACTTCATGACGTGGCGCACGCCCTCCTCGCCCATGATGCTGAGGCCCCAGACCCAGAGCCGGCCGACGAAGACGAAGCGGGCGCCCAGCGCCAGCGCCTTGGCGACATCACTGGCGCCGCGCACCCCGGAGTCAAACATGACATAGATGCGATCCCCGACCGCCTGGACGATATTCTCCAGCGCGTCCAGGCTGGCAATCGCGCCGTCCACCTGCCGCCCCGCGTGGTTACTCACCACGATCCCATCGACCCCATACTCGACACACCGCCGCGCGTCCGCCACGGACTGCACCCCCTTGATCACGAACGGCCGCCCGCCCGAGATCTCGCGCCACCGCGCCATGAGCCAGGGGAGCTTGTCCCACGCCCACGCGCGCCCGTGCCACACGGAATCGATCCACTTCGTCGCCGCCGCCACGGGATCGGTGTCCGGGTCGATGCCGCATTCCCGACACCGCCGGCGGAACACGGGATCCGTGAGCCCCAGCTCCGCCCCGATGCCGCGGTAGAACGCGTAGTTGGCGTGCGCGACGTCGTCGTGCCGCCACCCGAGCTGCCACGTGTCCGTCGTGAGGAGCAGGGCGTCGAAGCCGGCGGCCCACGCGCGCTGCAGCAGGCTGAGCGTCAATTCGTCGTCGTGCGGCAGGTACAGCTGGTAGAAGCGCGGGTTGCCGGCGCCGTTGGCGCGGCCCACCGCCTCGATCGGCGTGCTCCCCGCCGTCGAGAGGCAGTAGGGCAGGCGCAGCTCGCCGGCGACCTTGGCCACCGCCCGCTCCGCGGCCGGGTGGTAGATCGCGTTGATGCCGATGGGCGCGAAGCCGATGGGCGCCGCGACGCGGTGCCCGAAGATTTCGGTGGTGGTGTCGCGCCGGTTCGTGTCGACCAGTTGGTTGGGGATCAGCCGGTGGCGGTAGAAGGCCTGGCGGTTCGCCAGGTGCGTCGTGGAGAGGCCCGCGTTGGAGGAGGCGTAGTACCTGTTTCTCGTTTGTCAGTTGGGCCCCTGGAAGGGGGGAGGTGTGCCTCGTGTAGGGCACTGGTGGAATGGGGGTGGGGACGGGAATGGGAATGGGGCTGACCATCCTCCCAGGCTGAGCTTGCGTTTCGCCTCTTCTTCCAGCTTGGTGGGATCTATAGATCGTGTTAACCGGGGAGAGAGGAGAGGGGGAGGGGGGAGGAAGCGTTCTGCATCCATGCTTTCCAATGTTGCTGTATAGAAGGCCGGCATTGTACTGTACATACCTGTGTTGAACGGAGGCGTCTGCCCCTCGTTCGCCTTCCAGAAGTTCTCGCGCTGGTATAATGCCCACTGCGGCGTGGTGCGCTGCTCGATGTTCGGGTTATTCGGGTCGCTCATTGTGGTCTTCTGCTGTCTTCGAGGGAATATGCAATGTAGTCAATGATCATCTATGGCTTCTTCGTATCTGGTTATTCCAGTGGGCATGGTCTTGGCGATTGAATTGGTATTTATATAGAGAGAGATCTTGTTGCTGTTGTTGTAGTCGGTACTCGGGCCGGAAAGATGGATGACTTCACATTGACGCATGACGCACTGCGCACTTCGCACTGCGCACTTCTCGGGCGAGAGGACGACGTTACGTTTGGTGCCTGAATCCGGGGGAGTCAACCTTTACTTAAAAGAATGTACCATTTCATCTCGGTAGAACGATGGAGAATCGTTGGGAGTTCGTATTGTGGTCATTTCCCCTTCAGGATGTGAGATTCAACTGGAGTTGTCTGAATACTCGTTAAGCCTTAAGTGTACAGTATCAAGTATCACGCATTATACGGCCATGATCGGCTGCAGAATCCCACCCAATAATCAAAGGTAGCCACATATACATTCAACTCCCCCCAAGCCACAGCTTCTGCCTTCCAGACCAAGCCAAACCTACTCCGTCACACTATCCCGCAACCCGCGCAGCGCACTGGGCTCCCGCGCCCCCAGCGCCGCCGCCATGGCCGCCGCGTTCTCCGACCGCCGGCGCGCGTCCGTCCACACCATGAACTCGCTGTACGTGCGCGGCAGCACCTGCACGTCCTTCTCGACCAGGAACGTGTAGTTGAACATGCCCGTGGGCTTCTTGGAGCCGTGCTCGACGTCCCGCACCTTGGTGTCGACGCGCACGCGCACCTTCGTGTACGGGCTGCCGCCGATCTCCAGGGGCTCGGTGTACGCGACCGTCGCCCGCAGGTACAGCACGCTGCCGACGGGCACCGAGTTCTCGAAGGTGCTGGGGTCCAGGGAGACGAAGTTGGGGCGCGCGTGGCTGGCCGACGCGGCGCAGCAGAAGGCCAGCTCGAAGGTTTGCTTGAGTAGAAACCCGCCGAAGATCATGAAGTTGTGGCGGTTGCGGTCCTGCGGCTGCATGATCATGGCGGATTTGAGGACCGAGTCGCTCATTGAGATGATGTTGGAGGGGCGGGTGGCCGGGGAGGAGGGGTCTTTTCTGGGTGTTAGTTGGGTTGGGGGGGGACAAGGGCGAACGGGGGTTTGGACATACTCAGGTAAGACATCTCCTTCGTCCACATGGAATGGATCAGGTTACTTTCGCGCTCGTTGGGCGCCTTCTCGAGGAGACTCCGCGTGCGCAGGGCCTTTTTGGCTCGCGAGTTCTCCTCGCCCTTTTTGTAGAGGCGGCGCTCTTCGGCGGTTTCGACGAGGAGCGGCGCGATGGGGACGGGTCTGGTGGCAGTTTTGCATGATGGTAAGCAACGGTGTAATTTGTCGTTGGGAGAGCTACGTACTTCTTGGTGGCCGGATCCAGCGACACCATCGTGAACGCGCAAGTGATCAGCACGTCCTCGGGCTTCGCTTCCTCGCCGGCCGGCGGGGCTTTGGCCACCTGCAGCGAGACCTCCATACTCGACCGCCCCGTCGCGTAGGTGACCTGGCCGCTGAGCTCGAGGTCGCAGATCTCCATCAACGGGTGCTCGATGGTGATGCGGTCCACGGCCGCCGTCACCGTCGTGACGTGGTCGCCGGTGTGTCGGTAGGCGATGACGCCGGCCAGCGCGTCGAGATCCATCAGCAGGGATCCGAGTCTGTTTTCCGTCTTAGTTCTGTGTCCCCATGGAGCTTCCAGACATGCCCCCATAGGCTATGTAGGCTACGGAGGCATAACGCACCTGATATGACCCGACGCATTGAGATATGTGTCCAGAAGCCATTTATCTTGCGCGAGGGGGAGAATCTGGAGTATTGTTAGTGACATGAGTAGCTTCTGCGGCGTGTTTCACGAACAGCCTTGTAGTAACTGTCTGACATCCTCTTGGGCGTCAGATCGGGTTTCCCCGACGTGTAAGGCGCACCAGCCTGTCCCGATTGCGCCGCCTCGCGGCTCTTGGTCAGGGCCTCGATCCACGGGGTCTTAACCCGCATGGGCAGCCAGGTCGGAGGAGGGTGAGCTGCATTGGTGGGGCTGTTGTGGAAATCTCGACTTCCGAGCACTGACGGTGACAGGGCCGGGTGCTGCTGTGTGGTGGCGCGGTTGATGGTGCTGGAGAGGCATTTCGAACGAGCGACGGCGGACCGTCTGGTACTGAGACCGAACATGACGATGATGTGGTGTCAGTAAGAGTAGCTACAAGGTAGGTAAGCTAAGGGAATCGAATGAAAAGAAGTAAGTAAGTTTCATGGAGGCCCGACGATACGAGATATGTAGTGTAGATGAAAGGCTGCCTCGGGCTCGGCAGGGACAGGCCGGCTTCGGCTTCTGTCGCCGGGGCAAGTCGGGAAGGCTGTCTCGGAGCCACCCGCGCGGCATTGAGGAATGGCAAGTATACAATATAATGATACAACAGTAGTTCGTACGAGTAGTATTCGGACACTAGACTAAGAAGTAAGCAATTGCGCTCCCCGCATGGATTTCCCGATCTGGGGAAGAAATGGTGCCACTGGGCAGCTGGTTGCCCTGCAGTAGCCCTGCAGCTTTCGTAGTCCTATGACATCATCACTTCGGCGAAATCTTCTCCTCGCCGGCAAGAAGAGAATCTTTATTTCTCTTGCTTTTGATTGGGTTTGGACCTTGATTTTTTTTGTCGGAAAATCTAGAATATGTACATCATCCAACCCCAACACCAGCTATGTCACAAAACACAATTCATGCTCCTGGCCTATACAAAATGCCCCCCCCCCCGGTGGCCTGACTCAATGACAAGGGCTGGCTAAAGAGAAAGAGACAGAAGAGAAAAGAGCGCAAAGCACAGAAAGAAAACACAACGACCAAGTGTTCACACACAGTAGACCCAGGAGTTTTTGCATATGCTATTTGACCCCAAACAAACATGGAATAATGTTGGAAACCGACCGCACCCCCGTTGCCAGATAGATTTGCCGCCACCGTTTCCCCAACCCCGGCCCCCTAGACTCCGTTTGTTTTGACCCAAAACCGATACATGGGGAGTAAAGAAACAAGAATGAAAATAAAGAAGAGCATGCTGTCATGTCACATAAAATTGCCACTGATCCAATGTCTTTGGCTCACATGTAAGAAACCCAGATTCGTTGATATGGACCCCCCACACCAGATGCTGTACCCGCCAAGATGTTTCGAAATCTTCGAGATCAAAGTGATATCAGGGCCGACGCTTGGCCGGATATACAAACAGCAACGGGCGATTGTTCTTCTGACTGATGTCGAGTCGACGCCTAAAATACCGGCAGCCTTTGCACCAGTCGGAGGAATCCCGCGTGTCGAAATGTGGCAGGGAAATCATCGTGACGAATCTTGGAGGTTAAGCGAAGACTGACCAGGCGAGCAGCAAGTCCCTGGTATATTCGATAAAAGATATGTCCGTAACCCATCGAGTAAGGGGTGCTCTGATCCCACAAATCGACATGGTCGAGCCAGGCTAAATGTCAGCAACCACCAAGTACCTCGTTGATCTTGTTGTTCGCAAGCGAGACACCTCCATTCTTGGGTTCGGGCGGAGCTTCCTCCTTCATGCAGGCATTTTCCAAGATATTGGTCCACTTCCCGCTCGTGCCTGCATGGCTGTGCTTGAGATGCTGGCGGAAATGGTCTGCACGGAAGAACTTCTTCGCATTGTTGCATTCACCGAACTTGTGTACGACGGTGAGATGCTCGAATCGGCGGTCCCAGTCTGGTTGGGGATGATTGGGAAACTCCTCGCCGCAGTAGCCGCAAGTGTCATGTGACGGACCGGCTCCGGTCTGCCCGGGAGTAGACGAGGGATGGAATGCTGCTTGGTAGCTCGATAGAGCAGCACAGGACCACGAATGCCGTCGCAAGTGTAGCGAGTTTTGATGGCGTTCGGCCTCGTTCTTGTTCTTAAACCTATTGTTACAATAAAGGCATGAATATTGCTTCTCCATCTCATGCGAACTATCCATCATAATAAAGTTAGATTTCCCCATAGAAAATGCAGAAAAGGATAGCAGCTTACCGGAGCTCCTCGGGGCTATCGAATTTCTTCGGCTTCTTAGGACAGCAATCGCAAATGTACAATCCGCCAAGCTTGGGTCCTGTAGGCTTCGGTGCGGCATGATTCGTCTGCAACGACATTTTGCGCGCCGTTTCGACACTCGAAGGTTCGATAATGCTAGGTCCCTGGATGACTCGTGCGACTGGTGGTGCAACCATGTGAGCGGGTGAGGTCGGATTCATTATGGATTTGTCGTGAAAGGTATCAAGGTCAGACTTGGGTGAAAGCCCTCCAGGAGACCGATCATAGCTGGTCATACTACTGCCTCCCACAGATAGTCCCGCCGACGAGTAAGATCCGGTGGTTCGTATACTCAACGAGGAGGCCGCCGAATGGCTCCCGTGACCGGCAACATAACCAGAATTGACTGTCAAATTGTTCGTGTATGGTTGACCACTGGTTCTTCGTTGAGTGAGATCCCCGTTGCTGGTTATGATATGAAGTCGATGTCGATCGTCGCCCATCGGCTCACGAGGAGGAGATGATGCTCTTCTTTTCAACCCAGAAGATTTCGAAGCATCTGAATACGGCGGCGTGGCCTCCCGAAGATAAACCATCCGGGACGGGAGCGATTCGTCCGTGGAGAAATCACCTTCAATGTCTGAAAAGACGCCGTGATCGTAGCTACCTCGGTGTGAGCGGCTGGGGAGGCTGATATTCTCGTCGTATGAAGGCGTTGTTCCACCGCGACGGCGGTATACCTCCCGCAGATACCCTGAATGGTCGAGATCCACTGCTGATGACGGGGCGCTACTCTCAACACTGGGGCTGCGGCCCCCAATGTAATCCCTCCATCCAACCTTGGTACCTGGCGAGACTCCCCCTGATTGATAGCTTCCGGGCCCGGGCCATCTTACGTCGAGAGCCGAACTGTCCGAGCCTCCAGGCGAAGGGATGCCGCCAAAGTTTCGGGTAGGAATCGTGAGTGTTTGAAGGGTGCCTCTAGGTTCGCTTCCACCGCTGATAGACTGGCGCGGGGAGAGTGGTTTTCCGATTTTCGACAACAGGTGCTGATCGTACGCATCTGATGAATCCTTCACACTTCTTCGCGAAAAGTCCCGCTCTCCTTTCAAGATTGGACTTGGGCTTTTGATAGAGATCGCATTCCGGAAACCCTCGTCCATGGGCGGTGGGGGTTCGATCCGAATGTGCGCTTCAGGGCTCCTGGATAGTGGGAACCCACTCTGCCGGCCGTCTAAGTCGTCGAGAGCCATTCGATCACTTAGCGACACTGGTTCAGGCCGGCGGTGACCACCGAACAGGCTCGAGCTAGGATTGATGGGGGCGAGTTTGGTCGTTCCTCGGGAGTTCGCGTGCAACCAGCCAGCGTCGTAGCCGTCTTCGAGATCACTAATTCGGGGCGGCGGTGGTAGTGGCGGAGGGGCGAAATTCGGGGTCAGATTGTTGCGAATAGGCATAGGCCCGTGAGACGGATAGGAGTTTCCAGACATTGTTCCTAAGGGTGTTGCAGGGAAATTTGGGTTTTGAGGCACACTATCCTTGTTAAAGTCGTATATGTTAATCGAAGGAAGCGAGATTCGCGGCAAGTCCATCGTACACCAACAACCGCAGACAGCTGCTCATCGGCAAGCCAGGAAAGATCAAGCTGAGGTAGAGCTGAAGCGTGCCAGTGAAACTCGCAGTTTGAGGCTGAGCAGAAGTGGCGACGTTCCGATGTGCGCCCGTTACGGCCGCTATAGGAGTGGCTGGCTAAACGAACTTCCGACACTGGACAAAAACAACTATGTCGAGTGCTAGAAAGCAGTTGCAGGATGACCAACGAGCAGCTCGGTTTAATTCAGACGGCCAGTCGGTAGCGATACCGCAATCGCAAGGCTGAGAGGTTGTCTTCGGGTGCTTGACAAGTCAGGTGAATATGACCTCATATAGCTAGGGCAGAAGGCAAGTCGGCGCCTTACCTCGATCAAGAGGTACCTGAATGACTTCCGAAGTCGAAAGAGGGGAAGAGTTAAAAGTCCTTGATACCGAGGGGGTTCTTTCGCAATTGCGCATTACTCCGGAGAGACGGTTGTGTGCCATCAAAACGCCAGCAGCGGCAACTTATCGACGGAAGACGGCGCAGACACGGCCGAGCATACTGAGAAGCTTTAAACGAGTAGTGCGATTAAATGTGGAATTCTGGATGTCAACCAGGAACGAAAAGAAACCGAGAATCGGTCGACCATGCGAGATCCTCGAGGATTGAGAGGATGTTAGTTCTTTTCGAATTACTCTGGCCTAGATTCAAGTCTGTTCGACCAGAAGACGGAGTAACCGGAGGTTCGGAAAAGAGCAAGCAGTAGAAAGCGTGGGAGAAGGTAAGAGCTGTAAATGAATGGAGAACGGAGGCGAAAAGAAAGGAGAATCGAATGTCACATGCAGCTGCTTTCCGTAACGAGAAGCGAAGAGAGAACCAGGTCAAGGGCGAGTGGAGGCGCGATGCGGGCGAAGGTCAGGGTTGAAACTAAAGGTATGGTAGAGAAGAGGAAGAGAGGAATACACCAGGTGCTGTACTGCACGGCAGTTATGCGCGGGGAAGGGGAAAGATAGGAGCTGTAAGGTAGTAATTGTAGGCGTTGGTGAAGAGTGCAAGTAGTAAATTGAGGCGAGTTTGGAGGTGGGAGAGAGAGAAATGAATAATGAATGGGTGGTGCAAACCCCAGTCTTATTGGTGGTCCCTACAAGGCTCAAGGGCTCGTGGGAGGGAGTCCAAAACCACTGACTGTCTGTCAGACCCAAGGTTAAATTCAAACCAGATTCCCTGGTTTCCCCAGTTGGTCTCACAGTCGTTTTGTTTTTTTCTTCCTTTCGTGTAAGCGCCCAGTTGGTGGTGGTGGTGGTGGTAGTGGTGGTGGCGATAGGATAAACGAGGAGGATAGGAGCTTATTACAGAGAGAGAGGCAGAGACAGAGATGAAGACAGAAGAATGATGATGATGAATGGGGTGGATGAACTGATTTGAATGACTGACTGACTGAATGAATGGATGAAATGAAATGAGAATTGATCAGGAAAGGACACAAAACCCAGAGGAAGGTATTGGTTCCCCCAGCACTGATACCAAACCTTGTATTTGAATCTCCGTTTCACCCTACAGTCTGGTCCGGGTGGACACCCTCCAGACTTCACTCAACCCACTATGTCACAGCAATACCAAGGCATGGATGAGATAGATGGAATTGACGAGAGCACTATTGCAGGTTGAAGTATTCTGATTATCGTTGTCATCAATGTATTTGGTTGTCTGCAGCAGCAATATCTGGTCGAGACACATTTTCAGATCGCAGGTCAGATCAGATACCATCAATACTCGGGCGGTACTATCAAAGTTTAAAATACGCGTTCCCATACTTCCGGGGGCATAGTTGCAATTACAAGCATACAGTACCTCCAGAGTACACATACCTGCTGCCTTCGCGCAAGGCAATTGACTGCTCGATCAATCCTCCATTCAGTCATTCAACGGCTCATTGATTGTCACCGATACATGCGTCCGATCAATGACCATTATACAAATCTGCGTTAGATCCAGGACACCACACACACCGTTTGGCAGAAGGGGCCGACCGGCTGGTAAGTATGGATCAGCCGGAGTTTTAGTCGACACTTAATCTCACAAGTGTCAATTAGCATCAGCTCACTAGATTGTACTATGAGTAGTAGTACTCCAAGCTCCCCGATCAGTTTCAACCACATGCCTGGATACAACACCACGAACATCGTACCGTACAGTATGAGAGGCAAAAAAAGTCATGGATGTCGTCAGCGGTGTTTCTTCCGGTTCTCTGCCTGGCCAGGGAAAGTCTAATCCGCCTTATGGAAGTGTATAATCGGTGTGTTCGGTATATTCGGTTACGACGTGCTGCGTACCTGTCGGATGGTCTGCCCTCTGATTTTCTGCCTCTATGCAGCCAGCCCTGGCATTGGCTCCCAGCAAAAGTCCATACACATCCAAGAAAAAAGGGGCCCAGGGGGTGAAATGGTGGTGGAGGTAGGTCTGGTTCGTTCGTTCGTTCGGGATTGGCTCTCGTCTCGTCTCGTCTCGTCTCGACTCGACTCGACTTGGCTGACTGAGTGACGTTTATGAAATTGGAGTGGTAACTCTTAAATAAATGTCTTTTGTTATCGAAAGCCCAGCGATAAGGGATCTTGGGATCCTGCATTGACGAACGACTCCACGTGTTTGAATCTCAGTGTACTCCATCCACAACAAAAGACTACACTACGGCATTCTGCCATGAGATGATGATCATTGAGAACCAGGCAGCATGGGTCCAAGCGAGTCAAGCGTGGAGCTGTCTTGACCTTCACAGCTCGAGGACTGATTCTGGATCCCGAGCGGTGAAGGGCATGGACTAACCGGATTGGTGGTGACAGTGCAAGGACAACTGGGGGTGGAATGAGGCAGTGCTGGCGGGCTGGCGGGCTCGGACTTGGTCTCCTCGAATCATCCCAGCTTGCTTTTCTGGTTTGGACGAACTCCATCCTTTCATCCATTCTTCCACATCTTGCCGCTGCGGAGCGTCGTCAAAACAGTCGAGGTACCGGATAGAGCCGCCCAGGGTGGGCATTGGGTGAACTCAAGCCAAGGTTTTTTACGTATGCTGTTCGGTGGACTTGCCCACACTTTCTTTGCTTAAACTTGCACTTTCAAAAACACAACTCCTGAAGTAAGGTCGATTTTATCCTTATGTGGTGATAAGTAGGTTGGATCTGGCTAGGTATCGTTTGGCATCGCCGCAGAAGGAAGTACTGCGGGTCAGGGCCTCTGTCCTGGGAATCCCACCGGTGCAAAGGTCTACTCTAGTACTCCGTACCTTTCTCTGCTTTCTTCCTATGAGTACTTCCCAGTCATCAGTCCTTCGCTATAATACCAGAACCAACCCATAGAGATCAGCTTACCCGCATTCCCAGCCCGTACATACTGTACATAAAATCTTGCAAAATACCCACGATCCCAATTTACCGTCACGTTTTTCTTTTTCTGTTTCCTACCCCTCGCAAAAACGCTAACACCCCCCAAAGCGTCATCCCGAACCCTCCATCCTGCCACTTCCTCGAATTTTAATCTACATGACGACCTTACCAGGCTGGTTGGTACTCCGTACAGGGAAGAAAAGTCGGGTACCGAGTGCACCGGATGTACAGTACTCTCTCCATGCTCCACCGTGCGTTGTGCGGACGCAGCAACAACAATTGTAAGTGGCCCTATTGGGCGTGCTCCACCCCCCGGAACGGTCTAGCGCGCCCCATTATATGCTTTAGATACATGCACTGCCACAGTGCTGTCATTTGGCACTTCCCCCCTCCCCCTCCGTTATTGCGCATCTTTTTTTTTTTTTTTTTTGCCATCCGAGGTTCTTCCTTTACCCTGGAAGAATGATTACGAGTAGGGAGAGGGAAGTTGTGGTAGCGAAGATTGGAATTACCCAGAATGGAAAGGAAAAATATCAGAAGCCAATGCTAAAGCCAAAGTCCTGGAGACTGAGAGTGAATTGATCTAGAAGCAGAGAGTCAGGCAATGGGATGATCAATCGCCAAAGTCCTCAAGCAATGGATTTATGGAGGGCCCCGGGAGGCAAAGAAAAAGGAAAAAAAAAAAAGAATAAGAGAAGAAAAAACCGCAATACACAAAACACGAAAACAACTGCTGCCCGGAGCGTCTGATCTTGTTCTTGTTTTGCTCAACTTGTGGACGGTGGACCTTCTGACTGCCTCTTATTGCTACCCCCTACTCCGTAATTTCTCCTCTGGCAAACACAATGTATGTAGTTAGTCGATGCTCACTCGTGTCTGTGGTCATTATTGCCCGCCTCACATCGGGTCGGATATAACAAGCGATGGGTATAGCTTTGGGGGGTGAAAGGGGGACCCGCGGACTTGGGATGACAAGGCAACTCACATAGTACGACACAGGACTTATGCTCCTTACTACGGGTCCGCCTACTCATGGACAGCCATGGAGGAGGGGTATCATTGACGTCGGATGCCATAACCTCAAATCTTGCTCTTGGCTTCTGTTTGGCCACTACGACTCCGGATTCGCTCTGATCCTAGACCAACCAGGTTTGGGATCTCGATGGTGGCCTGAACTTGCAGTCTTTGCCAATATCAAGAGATTCTAACAATGGGCTGCGCTGGAATGACAGCCCACTGCCTGATCATCTTGGGGAAGAGGTCTTACGCGCCGTGTCAATCAACAGATCGAGGTACGGAGTACGCAGTGGCAAATTAGACAGGGCGGGCTGGTTCGATCAAACCGTGGCCCGCTTTGTGTTGGCGAGGGGACAACGAGGGAGATCACATCCCAAGTGTAGAAGAGGCTTTTGCCATAAGAGTTGCAGAAACAGGATCTTCAGAATCTGGCGCATCATTGGCCATCCTCAAGAATAAATGGACAGATGACCTGGCACATCACCAGTACAGTCTGCGATCCTTGTCCAGTCATTCGAACGTTTCACCCTTACCAATATCATTCTATGCCCCGTGTCTATATATAGGCGACCGGAGCTCGTCAGCAAGTCATCTGGTCAGCTTATATGGAAGCCGTGCACGGACGGAGAGACCTCCTTCTCTAGACCGACAGGCCCAAGAGGAGATGGGACAGGAAGACAACGACATGGCCGGGGTGGGACACAAAACTCACGTCTTGACCATGGCCATGTGTGTAGGCCAGAAGAAGTAAATAATGTAAGGTTTTAGATTGAAAGGGAAACCCCCGAGCTGAAAGGGACAAACGAAGAAAA